CCACCGCAACAGAGGACGCAATGGCTGCTCCCCCAAACAGTGCACGTCTCCGACGGCTCAGTGCTTTCCGGGGAAGGGTTCTCTGTCCCTTCGAGACTGTGTATGAGATGCTCGAAGATGTATGGCGCATCATCGACGACGCCTATGACATCGTCTTTGGGCGCCCATTCTACCGCGACCCGATCCAGCCTGGTCGTGAACAACATATCGCTCATATGACTGTCGAGATCATCGATCATCCATTCATGAGTCTGGCGTTCGAGCTGTGCCCTTACGAGTTCTTCAGACAGATGGTGGGAGAATTCTGGCCAGAAATGCGACTGATTGCCGCTCTCACGCTTGTCGATGACCTGTTGACGCGAGAAGATTGGGACTGGGACTGGGACAGCTCTGATCTGAATGTCCTCAGCATTATCCGCGACGACCTCTACGTGTTGGATCTTGGGATCATGATTCTCAAGATCAAGGTGGATCTCGAAGATGAGTAGTCGGGGCGGATATTGGTATATATTTCCCGGATGGACAATCAAAACCAAACTGTGAATTTCAGATCTTTCCAGCCGTTGATGTCTCTGCTTTGGCCATATCGAAGGAGGGCGGTGAATTTGCTCAGCTTCTTTTGTAGTTAACATAAGAGTACTGCTTGTGATAAAGCCTTTTGCTTAGAGAAGCTCTGTAGTCTCAATCAGGATGTATTGCCAGTGACAACCAGACGGGACTTTCCGGACTTGAGGAGAAGGCCGTGAATGAAAAGGACGGAGACTGCCGGAAAAGTCACCAACCTGGACGCGTCCTTCACTTGAGGTCGCGTTCCCAAACAACTACATATATAAGATGACAGCTCTGTTTCTGCCAGCTTGAGCACCCTTGACCGCTTCCTTGCCTACCCCGAAAACAAATTTGTTAGCGTTTCTCGCATCCAACCTTTCTTTTTCCTCTATCGTCTGATCAATTATCCGGGAATCCTGTATTTCAACATGGTGGGTAGGCCAAAGGCCGCGCTGGCCAGCCACACCTCTGAGAAGGCCTTCAGCCTGGCAATCGAAATGCTCCTTAAGTGCCAGTCCTTCTTTCTTGAACTTGCGTATCAACACGGCAACATCGAAATGATTGCCAGCGACCTCAGCGAGTCCATGTTCATCATTGACCACCATCTGAAGCATTTCAAGGCGCAAGGGAGCTGACCCCGGTTGAATACAAGATGCTGTCTGAATGCGCTGAAATGATTGTCGACTGTGCCTGGTGTCTTGCGCACGGTATGCATCCGCATAAGACCCAGGCCGTCATTCGCAGCCGCGACGCACTGAGATTTCCACCCTCGAGATGGCCCAACCGCCTGGCGAGGAAGACCGCCATTCCGTTCAACAGTTATCCGAACCCACTGCATGTGTGTATGAAGATACCACGACGCAAATAGGCACTTTCATCTTGTCGTTACATGGTACAGGTCACATCGTGCTACCGAGTCCAAGTAAGTTGTTCATAGTCAAGACATGAGGAGATTCACGACCATTTACTAATGGGAGGCTGCTCAATCCTAGCGACCATATAACAGTATTTACGAAACAGAAACGGTCAATCAATGAAATCTGCTGAACCGTGGATATTGGGAGGAAACACATACAATGAGGAAATAGGAGGCCGAGATCATCGTGTGACTGAAACAGCTGATGCAGAGTGGAACTTGCGAATCAGATTGTATGCCTTAGAAATAAGATTAGAGACAAAGGCGTCATTTTTTGTCTGTTCCGAGGTGCAGCATACAGCAGAGTTGTGCAATATCTTCCGTAGTAGCTTCGGCCGTAGATGGAGTTTTCCATTCCGAGAGGGCACGTGGCGGCGTCAGAGAGGAACAAACAGTGATGGGCTCGCTGGAAATCCTCCCCAAGACTGACTGTGGGAGGCTGTGCTACCGGTAAGCTGATGGATGACTCGTTTACACGGCGATCCGAGAGGACGGTGAAGAAGGAACGAGGCGGGCTCTAAGGCCTCCCGTGACGCAGGTGCGTCTCGCCGTCCATCCACAGCGCGAGATAGCCGACAGCATCTCCCTTCGCGAATTCTTGACTTCACCGTTTGGTCTCGCGGCGCAAAGATTCCCCGTATGAAGGAAAGCCATCATGGCAGTTGATCGCTGGTCCTTATTCGCCCGAGACCCGACATCCTCCACATTACGGCCGTATCCCTGTACCACCTGTTGTCACTTGTGATGCTATTGAGGTTCCCGGGTTCAGGCATATAACAGACCTCTGCTGCTGACGATGGCAGATAGCTAGATTGAAAGGGTGTTTAGCAGCAATCTTCTCTGATTCTTTTGCAACGTCCCCCACCGCTCTCAACAGTCCTGGTACTTGCTCAACGTCTGCTGGTATGATATATGTCGACCATGACCTCTGTGACGGGGATGGAATCTACCCAAATCTCTCCCAAGGAGCTTCCCAAATCGTTTAATGACTGGCCCAATTTCCAAGGAGTGAGTGGTCTCCCTACTGTGTGAAATGCTGCAGACCGTTAATGATGCCAGTTCAACTCCACCTACCAGGAGCACTCGCCGGTGGAGCTCAAAGTCAAAGGGAATATCCCAGCGTGGGCTGCTGGCGTTCTCTACCGCACGGGGACTGGTGCCAGTGAAGTCGAGACAGACTCTGGAAAGACCTTCAAGGTGCACCACTGGTTTGACGGGCTGGCCGTCGTCCATCGCTTCCAGATTCTGCCCCCCGACAGCGAGCACGATTCGGTTCGGGTTCTGTACAACTCGCGCAGTACCTGCGATGGGCTGATTGAGAAGATCCGCAAGACTGGTGACGTGGGACAAGTGACGTTTGGGAGGAAATACGAACCGTGCACGTCCTTTTTCAAGAAGGTGATGTCCATATTCCAGCCTAATCAACTCGGTTGTTCCAAGCCAGACGAGAGAAGCATGTCAGTCACTCTGTCTACCAACTTTCCAGGCCTTTCCGCCACGGGAGAGAGGCAGCACCATGGACATGCCTCGGGAATCCAAACGTTGTGCAACAAAACGGATGCCAACGCCTTTCAGATGTTGGATCCGGAAACGTTGGAGCCTGTCGGCCTTGCGTCTCAGACGACCCTTCACCCAGACCTCAAGGGTCCTCTGTCGTCTGCCCATGCGAGGTCTGATCCCATTACGGGCGACGTGTTCAACTACAATCTGGATTTAGGCCCGAAGCCGACGTATCGCATCTTCCGCGTGTCATCGACAGGGAAAACGTCAATTCTGGCCTCTTTCCACGCTGATGCAGCCTACCTCCATTCGTTCTTCTTGTCCAAACACTACGTGGTCCTCTGCGTGTGGAATTCGTTCTTCACCGCCAGCGGCGCCAGTATACTCTGGAAAAAGAACATTGTCGATGCCTTGGCAGATTATGACCCGTCTCGACCCGCGCGCTGGTATGTGGTGGACCGACGTCCGCCAGAAGAGGGAGGACAGGGTCTCGTCGCCATCTATGAAAGCGATCATTTTTACTGCTTCCATACGATCAACGCTTTTGAGGAGGCTTCTGCCGACGGTTCGACGGTCGACATCGTGGCCGATCTGGTGACGTACCCGAATTTGGACACCTTGAAAAAGCTCTACCTCCCAAACTTGATATCGACGTCGCCAGCTACTGCTGAGTATGCCAAGGCTAGCGTTAACCCCGTGCTAAAGCGTTTCCGTCTTTCGTCGATTCCGTTGACCCCTGTGAAAACTGCGAAACAGGCAGTGTTGGAGCTGACTTCGGAGCCCCTCAAGTGCCCGGAGCTACCCACGATCAATCCTGCGTACGTGCTTCGTCGCCATCGCTATGTCTACGGGGTGGTCAATACTGGAAAGTCGACCTTCTTTGACAGTCTGGTCAAGTATGACACGGAGACAGGGGCCACGCTCACGTGGAGCGAACATGGCCAGACGGCCGGCGAAGCCATCTTTGTGCCGCGGAGGGGAACTGAGGCGGCTGATAATCTGGACGAAGACGACGGGATTCTTCTTACGGTCGTTCTGGATGGGCCTGCCGGTCGATCATACCTCTTGGCACTTGATCCGAAAACGATGACGGAGACCGGCCGGGCAGAGCTCGATGGACCGGTGGGCTTTGCTTTCCACGGGACACATGTTCCTGCAGCGGGCAAAGGTTTTGGAGGAGCTGAGGGAAGGGGACTCGACTTTTAGTCTCAATTTGATTGCATCCACGCCTCTCAGAATGCTAATCCTACTTCTATCATTACTATCAATACAACTTGTTCAATAATCACCCTGATAATCTAGTAATTTCATGAGCCATTTTGACTATGGCGCCTGCTGGAGAGGAAAAGTCAGAAAACCCCGGAAATCATTCCACTGAAGCGTCAACATCGCTTTCACGTCGTCGTCTCTGAGAATCCTGCAGCCGTGTTTGTGGCCTTTGTCTTTCCATCCAATGAGTTGGCATTCCTGGACAGAAACAGAAACGACGCTGTTAGTTTCTTTCTTTCTTGTTTTTTTTTCCCCGTAAAGAATATCGTATGTTGTATCCTATTTCCACTTTTGGTTGTTACTTACCTTAGAGCAATACCAGAAGAGTCCACACTTGCTGCATTTCAGCAACGAGTCTTTCCGCTGACCGCATCCGTGACACGCCCTCTGGCCGTTAGCCTTTGCGGAATAAGTACGGACCTGGTCGCTCAATTCGAGAAGGTTGTCCAGCGACGTGGGGATAATCTAGGTAGTTTCAACAAACGAGCTGTTCTTAGCCTGTCTGACACGATGACATTGAACCATCACGGGGAAAGAAATGAATGACAGATATGATCGAATCATGTTATTTTATTGTCTCATCTTGTCTCGCTCACCTTGATAGAATCCAACTCCAACTGTTTCACCCCAACTGACAGATCCATGAACAGATGACGATGCGCATACAGAATGGCAATCGTATACCCCTGCTGCGGCAGCGACAGGTGGTCATGGTTCTGCTGAGAAGCAGACAGGACAGACGAAGTGACGTGAGCAAAAAAATCCCAGCCGCGCTCCTCCGTGTAGAAATACACGGGCAGGTGACGGCCAGCCTTGTCGCGAACGACGAGCAGCAGCCGGAAGAAGAAATGGACGTTGACGATCTCGGCCAGGAGACACCAGTGGCGCGTCGGAACGTAGAATGTACCGTCGACGCTGTTGTAGAAGTCAAAGTCGATGTTGTCCGTACTCGGCAGGGTGCTCAGGGTTGGGAAGACATTTTCATCGTCGCGGAGGTTTGCTGGTTCCAGCTCGAGGTCTGTTTCCAGGACCGGATTGTTGGTCGTCATCTCGTCGTCGTCTTTTTGCGCTTTTATTTTGCGGATGACAGCGAGATTTCTGACAGATTTGCGTAGGGATGGTATGATAAGAAGGGGTGGAGTGGAGTGGAGGATCAGGTTAAGAGATACGGGTCAGACATGAAGATAATCAGCTTCATAAATAAATAAACAAATGCACGACAAAGATCGTGCGTTTGTGATACATGTGATCTGGTGAAAGAAATGTCAACGACGACAACGACAACGACAATGACAGCATTCTGATAACCCTGGGCCCTAAGTTCTGACTGAAGCGTGCAGTAGACGACAACCCTGTCTGTGAGATGAGAATTTCATCCTGACAGGATTAAGACACAATTGAATGTGGTACACCAGCTGTCTTTATGTATCAACAGTGGCATGAATATATATATCTTCAAGGACTTTTTTTTTTTTAAAAAAAAAACCTTCCGAGATAGTTCTGTCTAGCCTTATTCTATCGCTCAGTCAGTCTACTGCATATATTAAATCCTTTCCCTAGGACGAGGATGAGAGAGGTACAGTATAAGAATAATGCATGTAACATTTCTTTTTAGATGCTAGGTCTTCTGTACCTCACCAAGTGTCTCAGGATTCTCTAAGCTTTTTTTAAATACATGTATTGTTGGAGGATGCAACACGTTACAGATTCGCTAAGAAGCATAATGTCATGGCATTCTAATTTTTCTTCTTTGGCCGAGTTTGCAAGAGCTTAGGGGACTTGTATAGAAATTTCCGTCTGATAACTAAATCCCAGTCACCAGTTCATCCTCCTCTGAAGTCCCAATGCATGATTCTGTTCATCCATGGGATATCTTTGTCCATGCCATCAAGAGGCAGGTGGTCATGCTGGCTCGAAACACAGATTGTCATGTCGATAGATAAGCGAATTCATACTGTCTTGAATGATGCCCTATAACAGGTAAAAATGCCTAACCGGGCATGTCTATCTAAATATATAGGTGTAATATAAGCAATAAAATGAGAGACTAATATAATATAGGTCTGAAAGATATAATAAAGATATAATAATAATAAAAAAAAGACTCGTCCTCCTCCATCTTCTCATCCTCCTTGTCACTCTCATCCTTGTCTTTGTCCTTATCCTTATCCTCCTTTTTCTCTGCAGTTGCCTACCTTAATATTATCTCTAGAAAGAGATTTATATTCCCCCTAATATCATATAAAGCTCCTTTAAGCAAATCTTTATACTTGTATCTAAGCTCCTCCATAAAGGCCTTCAACATTTTCTTGTTTATATAGCAGCCTAGTATTGCCTAAAAAGGCTTTCCCATTTTGTCTGTCAATATGACAATTATATCATCTGGGCCCTTCTGCTAGATATACTGAAGTACCTAGATACAATAATGGAAGTACACATATCTTGCCTGGGGCCGGAATGGAGTTAGGAACTCCACACGTCTGTCCTGGAGGTCGGACCACTTTTCTGGACTTTCTTCAGCGAACATCTGGGCGATGATGCTGTTGCCTGTCGAAGGATATGGCACAGATGGGTCCATATCTTAGCCTCGTTAACGCCGGGGGTCCCTTCTCCAGCTCTGTGAGGTCAAAAGTTAGCAACAATACAATTATGAAACAGAAAGAGAATTAAGAACAAAACGCAAAACTGGAGCCTTACGCGCCCATGATTCCATGCCATCGTTCCATGCCATGTTGAAAAGTGTAGGTATCGTAGCCGTTAGGATCCGACTAAGATCCTCTTGATAAGTCTTTTGATGGTGCTCAGGGAGGTTTCAAGCATGAAGCACCTGGACAGCTTGCTGGCCTTTGCCCTTCAACTTCCTCTTCGTCCATTTCGGCGTGCTGGCGTGGGACTTGTGCTGTGTACATTCCTGATTTCCTGGTTGCAGCTCTGGAGGATTCGTCTTCCCAAATATGGCATCCATGGTTGCTTGTCCATGTATCTAAGGGAAGATGTGTGCGACTGTCGTGTTCTGAAGCTCCGTTCTTCCGGGCGAATAGTTCGTCATAGATAACCCAAATCGGGCATCACTCCTTGAGAAGTATCGAATTTGGATAATTCGTCATGCGATTATCTCCTTCACGATGGCAGATATGTTTTCTGGTAGATAGGGAAATCGCCTTGGTCCAGAAAGTCATGGGTGTCATTGTTCATGGTGGGCCTTTCAATATTGTCCTGACCATCACATTTTCGGAGACCTCAGACGGTTTCGTCGTCCAGAGGAATTGCGAGCGGCCAAATGACGCACTTCTAAGGAACGAATTACAATAGTCCTGCCCGTTCATTGAGACTGTCATTCTCTTCTCTGTGGCCTGCACCTTATCAAATGGAACTGAGTACGAGTCCTGCCTCCAGAAGCGCGGGCTCTCTTGACTCTAACATTGTAGTATAAGTCTTCAACCTGACGAAGGAAATGGGAACCCGTCTTTGTAAATAGCCAGGCGTCATCCTCGTCCATCCGGCTGAGAAGGACATGCTCTGGGTAACCCCATCGAAACTGTGCGAGGTCTTCCAAGCGAAGATTCTCGGATTCAGGGTTAATACCATAATCCCCTGATCGCTAGAAGCCCTGCTCTATGCGGTCGCTATCGTCCTGCACCAAAAAGGTGTCTGCGAGATGCGCGAAAGAGAGGTCCTTCAAAGTTCGCGCATACTCGGGAGTGGACCATCGAATGTGACGAACAACCTTCCAGCGAACCAAATGGTATAGAGCATAGGCGCAATGGACAGAACTTGAACGTCTGGTTCAATTCTTTAGCATCTCCTGCGCAGATGTGTAGGATCGAATCGGCTCAGAGGGTTGCATTGTGAAGGGCGTTACCCGTCAAGTTTTAAGAAAAGAAAAGATAAGAGAAAAAAAGAAAGAAACCATTCAAAAAGCCACGAAGTAGACTTGATAAGAGAAGCAAAAAAAAGGGGAGTAACCAATAGGGAAAAAAGTGATATAATATACGAAGGCGGTTCGAAACAGCAATAAGAAGGTAGTTATTCAATTCAGTCTTTGAGGATGAGGTACCCGATTAACGCACCAGCTGCCTGGCTGACTCGAGAGTGAGATCCTGTTCGCTGTTGACGATGGCATTGACGATGGCATCGAAGGGCACCACTACCACGCCCGCGTCCACGACTGGAACCAACACCCAACCTTTTGCAAAAAGTTACTATTATCACCATCGCCGTTAGCCACCGCCAGACCTACGCCATTGAACGATGAACTTACCTGACGACCGTTGTCGACGGCCCAATTGATGACGGCTCTGCCGACCGCCTCGTAGAAGCTGGCCGGCAGGTCGTTAATTTGTTCCACACAGTCAATTTCCTCCTCAAAACTGGGCCCATTGACAATTTGATCAATTTCCTCTTCTTGTGTGAGTGGAACGGACCGACACCACCAGATCTGGGGAGGAGAGCGAGAACGCCGACTTATCGGGGGTCAGTCAGGGTCAGCGTCAGATCGAGCGCCTCGCGCTTAGAAACCATTGAGAAAGCTCTTGAATAACCTCCTGACCCTCCTAAAAACTGTTTCCTAAACCCCAGAACTCCTGAACCCCCGAATCTTCTTTCCATGCCTGGCTCAGAATCTGAACGACAGCGCGAAGGGCCTCCAATCCAGCGAGAATGAGGGGGTCTGTGCAATGGCATTGTTGTCATGGTTTGCCAAATCGGAGTCGCAGCAGTACGAAGAATTGCGAGTTGTACGGAGTACAATACATACTCCAGGCCAGGCCTGGGGAGCGACGTCATCGAGATTTGGATCCCTGAGCAGGGAAGAAAGTTTGTCATTATATAGAGAAGCACTCTTCTGAAAGGACTTTTAGCTGAGCAATCCTTCTCTCTGGATTGATGGCCAAGGGGAATCGCAATGACCCTTCGCTTCGTAAGTCTGCTGGGAGCAGTGTGCCACTGTCCTGGGAAATGTCGTCCTCCTAACAGCAACCTAGACGGATCCCACCAGACAAGAACAACTGGCTGTTCATCGCAGGCCATTGAAGATCATTTTGAATCATGTTGTGGTAATAAACCTCTGATGTCGGTGAATAGAGATCTTCATGTGCTCGATACTGAATGTTGAGCAGTATCTGGGGGTAACCTCATTTGAGGATCTGCTCAAAGGCCAACTCTGCCCATATCCCCCAACCTTTATTGGTAAAGGCAGGTGGCCATAGCTGCTTATGGTTTCCGACCAAGAGGATCCGGTCAGCAGTTCGTAATGTCGTAATTGCATATTGTATTTCGGGATCGCGGAAGAAGCTTGCTTCGTCAAAAATGATCATGTCTGGCTTGAACTCCTGATGACCCAGTTCAATGGCATTCATGACGGTGGTGACTGCAATTTGAGCATTGCCCTGACCTTCTTAAGAAGATCATGGCGTTCTTCCATGAAATGTTATTTCTTCGGCAGGTCCAAAATGCGACCAGTGGACTGCAGTTCCATAGTTCCTTTAGGAACCGTCTGTGTTGTGGTCCTATACCGTCGGTGTTGCCTTTGTATGTATATACTGATTCCAAGGCTATCTTTGGCCAACACGTCAGACGATGTGAGAATTTCCATGCCTGTCCCATCATTTCCTCAACGTAAGATAATGCGCAGGCGTGAAATATCATATCATCTTCATGTGGTCGTCATCTTCGTGTTCGATGCCTCCGAAGAGTCTTGAGGACATGTCACCATATGACCTCACTCGAACAAAGCGGTTTTCTAGCGTATCTGCTCTCTACTGTGCTAGAACAACAGCCACGTGTTCGTGAGAAGCATGAGAGGTGGAACTTTAGAGAATTTTTCCTCGCGTATTTTGATTCAAAGTTCCACATTCGAGCAATTCAGTGTCAGTGCGGTTGGAATGGGGAGAGCCCGCAATGGTAAGAAAAAGACACGCAACTTTTAAGCAAGTTTGTGGTCCCGTTCATCGAGCTTCCAGTAAACAGGTCGATGAGCGTGCTGGTGAAACTGTGAGCAGCTCGTGGTTTTGGAACCTGTCAAGCATACCTCGCAGGAATTGAGTGCGACGCTTCTCAATAACATTGTCTAAGAAAACACTGGGTGGGAGCAATCGCTCTGGGGAAATTGATGGTTGTTGAGGTATGTCACGATAAAGACTGTTCCGGTCAGCGAGCTGTGTAGGAACCTAGACGACGACTGTTTCCTTCAATCCCAGAACTGCCTCGACAGCCCGCCTTCTCGTCAAAGGAAGAAAAGACGCTGCACATTGTCCAAGCGGGCGCAAAAGTACTCTTGAAGTGATGCCTCGTTGTCTGAGACTTGGATCGCCAGCCAGAAGAAGCATTCTCTTAGCGCTGGGTAGCATTGGGTCCCGGCATCACCGACAAAGGTATCAAATGTGTCGAATCGACAGATAGGCGCGAATAAATGATCTCCCGGTCTCAAGTACTTCAAACTCGGGTCTCTTTCTCGTGGAGCTTCTCTACCGATGCCACAGTGCTGGCAAACACAGGAGCGGACTGGAGAAAGTGGTAACTGTCTTTCTGGCAGAGAAACCAAGTTACGAGGTCGCACGGTTTTTTTTTTGGCCGCCGCGCACTGCAAGCTCTGAGGGCCTGGAGCAGACAGCGTCTGGCTCCCTGATAGTTTCTAGAAGGTATCTTGAGCTATCTGCTCATGCCCGCTTGGATCTTGGCTGCAGATATCCTATTGTTCGGTAGAACGCAAGGCGTTCTATCCATGTTGATAGTTACTTGCGTAGGATTATTGCACGTAAGCGCCTTCCGTGCAAGTCTGTCCCGCAGACAGATAAAGAAACCCTTTTCGTGATCTCTGCCTTTAGGGTGGTTGATGAAACACTGGTTGTTCACTTGCCTGTTCATCGTCGATAGATGGAGATAGCAGTCAATAAATAGTGGTAGACCAGTACCACTAATATTCGTCTGATGGTGCATAGCCTCAATACTTAATTGAATCGTGTTGATAGGAATCAAATGCCGATAGAGGCATTTTAGTGTAGCACCGGTTAATTCCAGAAAGAATCCATGGGATCTTTTTGTGTTTTGCCCATCTCTGGACCTCACTATCCCCACGTTTTAGAAGGGCATCGAAGATTCACTCACATGCCTCCAGAGAGCTTTCTGTAAGCAACTGTTGCATTAATGAATGGCAGACAGTCTTCACCACGAAATTTCTGGATTAGACCCCTTTTGATGTGGACGGTACAAAAGATAAGAACATGTTGAAGATGTTCATTCCACAATTTGGAAGAGGTCAATGGATTGATTCCAGATATCTACCGAGCCCTAGCACCATTCATTGTGTTAGTAGCTCATAGTGGTAACCAGATGCTGATAGTAGTAATAATGGAATAGATCTATTAGTAACTTACCTCTGGCCTGTTTTGGGCACATGTCAGCAATTGCTGCTTCAATACTGGTTCCATGAATATGAAGCCAGTTTAAACTAGTCTCGTTCTGAGAATGGCCAGATCCGTTGAATGTAGACTAGCTGTCGGGACGCATTTCAAGTTCACAACTGACGCTATACAAATCTGCGCCGCAGACAGATAAGATCAGCTCTGTCATTGGTTCTTCTCGCAGAGAAATCGGTGGATCGCGAGAAAGGCTGGATCTTTATAGCCGGAATCTGGCACGGTCATCGACTGGAAGAAGTATCTTAATAGGTAAGGAAAGCTCTCAGAAACACTGATGCCGTACTATGACATGAATTGCGGGGGATGGATTTCTCAGCTCAGACAAAATTCGGCAACAACGTAGCAGCTCACCCCCGTGGAGTTGAAAGTGGGTGAGATGGTTTCTTTTACGTGATGACATGTCGCTACTCGGACGCAGGGACGGCTATTGGTTTCTCTTTGGCGAATCAGATAAAAATACCCTCCCAGAATTGCTGGTGGGAGATCTTATGCAAAGACTTCAGAGCTCACCGACTGCGTCGTTCAGCCTCAGAAAATGGCGATGGCCCTAATAGAAATGCCTCCTGAGCTGAATCATGCGCTGTAAATATCTGTTATGCCGCTTCATTTCTTCGCCCTTGTCTTCTTCCCAGTTTTGGCTGTTGAAACGGTAGTAGCCTGTGTTGTCGCAGAATCACTCTTGCCAGCCCACTGGTCTTTGATTGCCTGGACTGTATCCCGCACGGCGTCTCTTGCTTCATTTCTGTCGAGTCCTGCCTCAAGCAGACTTTCGTAAGGTGTGTGCGTATGCCTGATATGCGCCTCCACGGCCAGTATTGCCTTGTTCTCGTCTGTCTGTGTCGTAGACCGCCCAACCCGTCCGGATCCCTTCAAAAATGCATGCTGGAGGACGGCTTCCAGAGAAGCTTCTGGCATTGCGGGAAATTGTGTCTGCAGCACTTTCCGTGCACGCTTCAACGCCCTTTCATCCCGGAGTCGAACAGCTTCTGCACGATATTCGGCTGTCCTCTTTGCCATTCCCATCACATAGTCGTACGCATCCTTAGGGATCCTAATGCCCACTAGTCGTTTGTTATCATCCTGGCGGGTATTCTGACGTCAGCTGGCAGAATGTACGGGGGCTGGTTAATACAGTAAGCTTGACTAACATAAACTATGTATACCGTACTCCCTCTGTCCTTGGTGTGACTCTTGCAATATCTGGTGATGTATACATCCCCTTTAGGAACGAAGACGTAGTCCTCCGGCATAGGGTCCGCTTCAAGGCATGGCTAGAACGACACAGATGTTCAGTGACAAAACTCGTATGTGGTCAATTGGAGATACCAGAACTACTAAACAGAACTAGGAATACTGGTCCAATTTGCAAAACATACCTCTTCCCACGGATCATCCGTAGCCGGGAGGCGGGGGCGAAAAAGACGACGCATTTCGTCCGGGGTAAGGTTTTCCAGTACAGACAGCGGGAGCCTGGTACTGCCAGCATTGGGAGTCGAACTTTGGATACGTTTGCCAGGCGTCTTTCGTACAGCCTGTCTGCCACGTTTGGCTCTCGAAGCTGATTTAGATTTTGCTGATTTAGATTTCGTAGCTTTTCTTTTCGTACTCTTCTTGGCCTGAGACCCTCTCCGGGCAGATGATTTCTTGTTCACAGCCATACTGTGGAAAGAACAAGTGTGCCATGGATCGTAAAAAGAGAAGTCACCAGAAAGTGGCAGATGTATTTGGGTGTAGCGTCAGTTGTCTATGCGTAAGGGCTGGGTCTATTGACGACCAATCGTAATTTATGCGTAGTGACAGGAAGAAACGGAAGTCAATGCACGTCTACTTGTTGCAACAGGGCTGTCATTTGCAGTGGCAGACGAGGAGGAGTGACTGCAGTGTGTCATGGACGAAATGCAACGCGAGTCGACGCGTGTCGTGACAGCCCGGCACGTGGCAGGGCATCGGTGTGGCTGAGTTCCGTGTTGTGGCGCAGTCGACATCCAAGTATCTCTAGCCAGCAAAATACAAAGCCTATTTTATTAATATTCTATTCTTATGGGTAGGAAACTAAGCGAAGGTCCCTGGATGGGGATCTGCTATGATGCTCGGTATTTTCTCTTCAAGGTAATTGTGCCCGTCAGAAAAGATAAGAGGCGTTTAGGGCTAGTGCTTGAGTCGATGGTCAACCGTAAACCAGAGGCATCATATGCCGCCATCTCACTCAGCAGGATCCAGAACTGTGCACATGAGACCAATGACAGAGTGATATAGAACATTTTAATTCTTCAACGCAGTCACAACTGTCTGGTTTAGATGGCATTCACGTCTTGCAGGCCATCCTCGTAGCCAGCATGGCGAGGGCAAGTGCGGGGTGTGGGGCGCATCGAAGCTAATCTGAGAAAGAGCTAGCCAAGGGCCTTAGTATAAAAGAAGACTGCCTGACTCTGGAGTCTTCTTTCTTTGGCTAAATTTGGCCCCTATTACGTACCTACCTATAAGCCCTGACGTCAAAAAGGCACACTGAGTCGACATGCTGCCTCCGGGACCCCTTGCCGCATCCAAGGCTCGGCAACGCCATTCGGAGGAGGATCTCCTGGGCGAGCCCTTCACTGTGGGCAGTTCTGCTGCAGAACAGCCCAAACTGGGTCAATGTTGGCACAGCAATCGCATGCAGGCCTATCTAATCACAATGCATAGTACACGATCAGTTCTTCGATGCTAGCAGGGAGGGAGTACCCAGGACTATGATCTGGCCTCTATTGAGTCTATTCCTGCAGATCTGAGTAAAATCACTGCCTTTCAAAGAAGATGCCGACCTTTAATAGCCATTGGCCGAGTCCGGTGCCTAACGTACCAGGAATGATGAGTCCATGACATCGTTGGCCGCGTCGAGCAGGCCAAAGCGCAATGGGAAAGGCCACACGGAATCCTAGTAGAGCAATCCCCACCGTGCAGGCAACAAGCTTCTCCAACAGGTGTAAGATCGGCGCTTCAGAATACGACAGTACAGAGTAAGATATCGCTTGGATACAGGACGTCGAAATGGGCAGGGTAGGCAGCATTGGAGGCTTGGCTTGGACCTGCATATCCGAAGGCGTCCAGTGGCTGCATATCGCGGGGTCTCCCTGGCAGCGGGCCGCAGCTGGATTTGAATGGCAAGCACCGCCAAAGACGAGGCCTCAGGAGCCGAGCAGGCCTCGGTTCTAGGCTGTGGGAGTCAGCCAACTGCCCCAGAGCGGGCCTAGATACGGAGTACTCGGTAGACAAAGGCAACGATCCACGGAGATTGCTAAAGACCGGACGGAGTTCTGTACGGAGCACAGAGCATGGAGCACGGAGTATATCGAGTCAGCGGCGGAATTGTCTCAGACGGATCGATATCCCTGTCCACGGAGGATAGAGTGATTGTCTGAAGTCTTTAAAGCAAGGCAGACGAGTGTCACGAGCTGCTTCTCCGCTGTTGGCGAGCTCTGTCGGAGCAAAAGAAGTTAAAGAACACCGGGCCGCAACGTCACGGGGAGGCCGCGGCAAGGATCCGGTGAGTGCTCCGCGGCTGCAATTCGCCATGCTGGCTTTTCAATTAATTAGCAATTCTTCAAGAACAGCACTCGACGAGGCTCAGCTGGCGAGAATCGATGCGGCGAGACCAGCCCGAGTCCGCCGGATCATCGCCCTACTATTGGTCTCGCCTGCAGGCCGCCCGCAGCGCTGGGCTCGCCTGCCAATCGAGCGGCACACCAAGTGGGATCGCTGGCCTGCTGCCTCCTTTCCTGCGTCCTTCCAGCGAACTGTGACGCCCGTGGTGGAGCTCGCAGCAAAAAAGAACAAAAAAATTCCCATTCGATATCGCCGGGAATCCCAAGAGAGAAAAACGAAAACACCGCCAAACGGGCCTGCCCCGGATCTATACCAATTTAATTTTTTTTCTTTCGTTCGATTTGCCTGTCCGTTCCTCCTTCATCTCTCAGTCCTCCTTTCTTTCTTTCACCAGCAATCCCACCATGTCCTCAGCCCTGTGAAGTGTCTCGGCAGGGAGGCGGGCGACACCAAGCATTCTTTGTTCCCCTTCGCTCATCCAACCTACCAACCACCCCCTCTCTCAAGGGGCCGTCCCGATCCTACCATTGCCCCCTCGTTCTCCTTCCGCTGCTCCTCGACTCAGTCACTGTCGACAAGGGACCATGCTCTAAGAGGCCTCGACTCGACGACCTGCTGTGGATTCTCGACCGGCTCTGCTGCCTGTTTGGCCTTGATGTGCCGTGCGAGCTTGCCCTCGCCGTCCTTGCCCGCTCGAGATACTTAACGTCCTCCGTCCAACATTCCTGACCTTCCCCATTTGTCTCGACCATTTGACAAAACGATCTGCACCGTTGCCTGGCCGAGAAAGTTCTATGGTTGCTAGGTTATCTCCTCCGTGGACATGAATTGGGATCGTCCGGTCCATAGGTATGTGTAGGTAGACACAGGCAGGAAGGACTCTCTGCCTGTGCTATGCTCCTCGAGGATAACTGTTTCTCCGTCCCTTGGTAGCCGCGGGGTTGGAAATACTGTACCTTTTTTCCCTTTGTCTTACCACTGGATTTCCTCTTTTTTTTTTCCCTGTGTCTGCGTCCTCACATTACTCATGAGTTCATACTGCCCAAATAACCAAGCATGATGCTGATGGACCCGGTCACGATGTTTAGCTTCAGCTATCCCAATGGCGAGCCCCAGACTCCGACGAGAACCCCTACCTCTACGGCTCTTAATGATTCTGCCTTCCAGACTCCCAAGATCGAATCCAGCTTCTACGATCCTCGAGTGACGTGGGATACTGCCGACCCATATGCTTCGAGTCCGGAGTTTCTCAAGACCCCTCAGAGATTCCTCTTCGGCACCCCGTCCAATTCCCTTCATACTGGAGATGGCTCCTACGGTCAACAACAACAATCGCCTCAGGCCAATGCAACGGCGACAACAGAGGACACAGACACCGCCAAAAAAAGGCGCTCTTCCAAGCAGAATTCCAGCTTTGGGGACGATGGATCGGGCACGGTAAACTCCGCAAAGTGCTCCGCTGCTTCCATGCAGACTCCGCCACCAACAAGCACATCCCGGAGGAGAGTGGCTGATTTCAACGACGGAGGAGACGGCCATTCGAATACGGAGACCGCGAGGAAATTGTCAACGACCACCGACAACAACCACTTGGAGACCCCCAGTCGTCTGATAGGAGCTTCTCCCCAGACGTTTGGTAATTTCCAAAACTCTCCCGATCTGTTTCAGCTCTCATCGGTGGACCCCTCTGCCTCGCCTTTTTTCCCTCAGCAAAAGCTCTTCTGGGATCAGGATACGGACCAGCAAGCAGGGGACATGGGCCTCCCGAACCCCTCGAATGACCTCTTTGGTTCGGAAACATCGGCCCCTTTCACGACCGCCTCGACTACCTCTCAGACTACTGGAGTACCTCCTCTCCCAGCATTGCAGGGTTCGATGGATTTGCCCGAGTTCAGCAGCGATGCTAGCTTTGGCATTGTATCGACGGCCCCCGCAGATGCGGCACTCTTCCCTCCTCCCTTTTCCACCTCTCCTCGGGTTCCCATCACGAAGGCGGAGGATCCGGGCCTCTTTTTGAGCTCTCCGGCTCGGAGGTTCGGCCCCCCTCAGCCAAGGCCTGAAACTCAGACCAGGAGGCTTCCTCCGCGAGTCAATCGTCAACCATACCACCATCAAACCGAAGAATCCAAACGAGAGGAGTTGCGACGTGCTCGCAAGCAAAACAGGCCGTTGTCCGGGTCCTTCTCGGAAGACGAGGACGAGGACGAGGACGACGATGATGATTATACCCCTCGCGCTCGCGGACCAAGACCGGGCCTGACCAGAAGCTTGACCCATACGGCGGTGACGTCGCACTCTTCTCATGCTCGCCAGCTGAGCCAGGGCATGCTCGCCTCCACGAGCGGGGTCAAGAAGCCGCTATCCAGAGGCCGTTCGTCACCGATCAAAACGACCCGTCAGTCACTTTCTCGTGCGAATTCAACCGGTTTCCCGAGTCGCTCTCAGTCCCTGGTCTTGAAAATTGACAAAGACGGACGAGCAAAGACCGAAATCCAGGTTGTCGACCGGTCGACCGGTCTGACGGATCCGATATCAGAAATGGACATGGAGGGTTCTACGACTGAAAGCGAGAACGAATCGGCCGAGTTCTCCGACTATTCGATTGCCCGTAGTCAAAGCACGTCGTTTGCCCTTCCTGGACCGTCCCTGACCAAACCGACGGTGAGCCGTGCTGGCTCTCTCTCCAGGCCCAACTCCAAGAGCTCCTACACATCCACCATTGCATCCTCGACGTCCGGACGCCGTTCTCCTTGGGCAGACTCGACCCGGAGCGGCCAGAGACGGCCTCAGTCAGCCATCTTGCAACACGACTGGGCCAACACGCCTCGACGGTTTTCCGTCCCGGCCAATGCGGATTATACGCGGGGCACGTCAAGTTCATCGACGACCGATAGCACCCTTCCCGAACAGGAGGAAGACTCGGGCGATGCGCAGCATGCCTTGAGGCAAATGCTGAAAGGGAGGGCGCGGAATGCCAGGCAGCCGGTGGGTGGATACGGCGCTGGACGAGTTCCAGTGTCGCAATCCCTCACGCATCTGCGGTCCTCCCCGCCTAGCATGAATCGATTCGACAGCAGCTCGAACGGCGCGACCAGTTCGCCGACGACGCTTACGGACCCCGATCTGGCGACGCCCAGCACCGACCGACGCAGTAATCCCAGCAACGGCACCAGGTGTGTTTGCAAGTCGACGGATAATGGTGGCCACCTGATGATTCAATGGTTTGTGGTGCTCCCTTGGCTGTTGTCATTAGCATACTAACGTACTGCAGTGAATCTTGTAACCACTGGCTGCACACTAAATGTGTCGGACTGGAGCGTTCCAACCTGCCCCCCGTCTACATCTGTGTGTACTGTTCGCAGACTCCGATGCGAGGCGGTCGAATTCGGGATCCGTTGGCGCGCGTAGGACACGCACCGTCGTCACCACTCGCCCGCAAATCATTTCGAAATAGATGACGCGACGGGTTTTTCTCAGCACAGAACACGCGACTTTCGGTCGCTATGTCTTCGAGACACCTTGGCTGTTCTCAACCATTCTTTTCATGTCATATCCATGCAACACAGGCGTGGGTTCTCTCTGTTCGTTTAGTCCATTTGACTTTTCACGTACAGGATACCCCCGAAGGCCCTGTCAGCAACAGTGGTCTCGAATTTCCTTTGTGTGAAAATCGCTGTATTCGAGGTTTTCTTTGTCTGTCGACTTTCCATCTTTATGTGACTGATCAGTTGAGGAGATTGACTGTATTGTACGGATTACCGTTCGACTGAATGCCCTGGATGGAGTGCAACACCAGTGGAGGATTAGACGATTATGTGATTATATGGCTAATATGTACATACGTGACATGCGATGCATGCTGCAATTACTGCAATTAACTGTATGAGATTCTGTATTACAGGAGTAATAGTATCTGTGCCAGTCCTTATCTACATGTGATCCTGTCTGGTAAATAGGTCGATCGAATTGCCGTCTTTGATTGGCCGTGTCTGGGAATGACGACACTGGCCTGCACCCTCTGTAGGAAGCAAGTTTCCTATTATCTGCCTGCTACCATCTTTAGAACTCGATGATCATGCGTGGGTACATGCGAAAGATTGGAATTGTGCCCTATCTTAATTCTTTTGTTATAATACTGAGCATGCTGCTTTGATCGAGCGGTTCTTGTCCGCTCTCGACATACGTAAGTATGCATTCATGAGTTTGTCCTCGGCAGAACGGTCTCAGTCTCTGCAGAAAGTTACCTATGTGCTGAATACATTTCATTTCTCTGTCTACTGATTTATTGATTGACTGACTAACTTCCTGACCATGTCTTCTTCCTCTATATCACGCAAGATCCCATCCCCCCGCGACTGGCAGAAATGGACCTCCTCCCTCCTAGAGAGATACCGCATCAGCGCCAACAAGAACAGCGACAGGAACCTAGCCCTGGTAATCACATCCCTTCTTACCAGCGGACTCATCGGCGGCAGCCTTCTGGCCGTCCTCCGCGCCGCAGCCCTCGACTACCGGACCTACCTGAGCTACGGGTCCGGCGGCCTACCCTACAACCTGTGGGGATGGTTCCTCTCGGGCGTGGTCTTGCGTCCGCTAGGCACGGACGTCCTCAGCACGGAGCTGTACGACAGATACCCGAATAAGAGCAGCTGGTTGCCTGAGGAGTGGCCGCTGGTGAGGAAGCGAGAAGGGCCACGGCCTCGTCTGGGTTCGCATCCGCTGCCGCAAAGGCAGTTGGATCAGTTGGCGAGGGGGAAGATTCATCAGGTTCGCACACTCACTCACACCTGCTATCAGTAGGCGGTAAGGTAGACTCTGCTAAGAATGGGGTGTAGAAACTCATCCAATCCTTCGCCAAACTCGTCGACGACAACCCTTCCCTCATTCAGTTCAAGCCCTCCGTCCACGAGGGCCACACAGAGAGCATCTTCCTTGCTGATGGCGTCCCTGCATCCCCCATCGCAGAAATGATGCTTCGCGAGATATCGCACGTCCATTCGACGGGCGATCATTCAGTGCATGTAGTGCTAGCGCCGCAGGATTGTAAGTGAAAAAGCCCCCCAAAAAATCATTTTTTTTGTTAATGTCTTCAGGCAAAAAAATCATACAATCCGGCTGGGGCCAACGACATCCCTTGGACGGCGTCAAATGGCCAACAAAGCTCATCTTCGGCTGGTCCCTGCCCAAGGAGTATATTCTCGTCTATGCGCCGAGGACGGAGGAAGAGGTTTGTCTCGTTATGGAGATTGTTAGGGCGTCGGTGGGGTTTATGTCGGGGTCGAGGGATGTTGTTTAGATGAGTGAGAGAGTTACATTTGTCTGCGTATCCGCGTAGCTACTTATCTACGTGTTGTGTGTGTAGTTGTGTAATTGTATTTAATATATATATGAAGTATAATATGTGGTGGTATAATGGATTATTATTATTATATCTGTTGTAGGGAATTGACTGATCTTTTTTTTTATCTGTTTTATCTTCAGTTACTTTCTTCTTCTCTGCTACTGCTACTCCTCCAGTGTTTCAACTTGTGTACATGCCCAGCAGGATCACAGAGCGTTTGGCCGACGCAAGGAGGTCCGGACCGTAGCAGACGCCAGGGGAGCCTCCCCGGCCGCGCCGTACAGTACGTCGGAGGCCTGAAGCTGAGACGAGGGAAGGCCGGCATGCTGACGGACGTGCTTCTTCTGATCAGATCGATGGGAACGCCCACGGCTGTCGTGCCCCGGGGGACCGTCTGCGCGGTCCGGAAGGCGTTGGCGTGGCCGTCTCCAGGCCCGTGACGAGATTGCTGGTTCCCGGCCCAGACGTGACGAGACAGACGCCCGGACGATCCGTCAGTCGACCGACGGCCGCGGCAGACGACGAGCGGACGCAAGGGTGGTCCTGCAGCACGTCGAAGATGCCGTCCACCTTGGCCCCGGGATGCCGAAGACGAGCGAGACGCCGGCGTTGTGCAGGCTGTCCACGATCACGCTGGCAGGAGGTCAGCAAGGTGGATGACAGTACTAGGACTGGTCAGTATATTATACCGGTATCATTCCGAGTGAGATACGGCGCATTCCATTGATGATGACGGATCTGCAGGCTGCTTACAATGCAGCTGCACGGCGCTGAGTGAGACAACTTAAAGCTTGGTACAAATGTCGCTGGCTTATCGTGGCACATATCTTCGTTTCTCATTCTATTCTTCGTCATGGCCGCCAACACTCTCTACCAGTATTCCACCGCCTCAGCCCTAATGGCCGGCGTCGCATCACACGGCATTCCGTTATCGCGCCTGCTGTCGCATGGCAACCACGGGCTGGGGACCATGGCGTTTATCAACGGCGAGGTCGTCCTGCTCGACGGGACGGCATACCACCTGCACCCGTCGGGCTCGATCCGGATAGCAGAAGGACACGAAGAGCTGCCATTTGCCATGGTGACGCCGTTCAACGACGCGAGGAAAAAATGGGCTACGTTTGCGGAGGGTCTCTGCAACAAGAGTGCCGTCTTCGACTGTCTGTCGCGGCTGATGTATCCAGAAGAAGCGAAAAATCAGAATCACTTTGCGTTCTTCCTGGTATCCGACGCGCTCTTTGACAGCATCACCGTCCGCGTCGTCCGCAGCCAGCAGTACCCCAACCAGCCGCTGGCGGAGCTGGGCGACGCGCAGAAAGTGGACTGCTACCGCGGTGTCCGCGGGTGTCTCGTCGGGTTCTGGTCGCCGATGTTCATGGACGGGGTCTGCGTCGGCGGGCTGCATATGCATTTTTTGTCGCAGGACAGGACGTTTGGCGGCCATGTGTTGGAGCTGGAGGCTCGAGGGGCGGTGTCCATGACGGCGGCTGTTCTGCATCATTTTCACCTGGAGCTCCCTGTCAATGAGGAGTTTGATAACGCTCGGCTGGGGGGTGGTGGTGAGGCTCTGCATAAGGTGGAGGGTTAGCAGCATGAAGGAGATGTTGTACAGTATATTGTGATAGTGCAAGAGAAGCATCGGGGATATTGGTCAGAAATTACCATATATAGTAATAGCAGGTAGATGAGTTTCATCATACTGATAGATAGTCTATGATACTTGCTCACTATCTAAATAAGGAAGAAAGGGTAGAACAGAAGTTATCTATAGGACAGTGCAGTGCATTTTTGCTAATGTTTTCGAGAATCCTGTATAGCTTGTCTGTCCATAACTAGGTAATTGATACAGTACATAGGGTGATTAATATAAATTAACCCACATACGACCATTCTAACAATGTGTAGGAAGATTGAGTTGAGAAGCACCGTCTAAGATAGTTGACCGTTCATAGGAAACCTACACGTCTGTAGTTATTAGTTGATTGATTTCGATCTGCGGTCATTTATATAAATGTCCTGTATGTACACCCATCAGCTAATGTTAGTCCTCGTGAATATCCAAATCTGATCCCATCCAGCCTGTTGATTCCCCTTCTCAATACTATTTAAAGACACTGCCCCCCCACCACAACCGGCCGACCAAAATACACCAGATGAGCAGCATTGATACCCGACCCATTCTGCGCCTCGCAGCACTGCACCGCCCCGTCCTCCGTACAGACATACGTATTCTCCGCACTCGTCGGGTCCAAGTTCCAGTACTCCAGCCCGTGGTGCACATACCCGTCCGACGTCGGCGGCGCATTGGGGATGCCGTCGTCCGCGTGCGTGCACCGGTAGAACCGCGTCGTCTCGGGCGAGGACGTGCTGTAGCGCTGGTCGATGAAGGACGCGAAGGCGGCGTTGCCGGTGCGAGGCTCGCCCATTGTGTACACGGTGATGTTGTCGAAGAGGGGAGAGAACTGTGCTGCGGCCAGCGCGGCGAGGGAGCCTCCAAGACTATATATCAAGTCAGTATCTATACACAGACAGTATATTTATACCTAGGTTAGGTGGGTATATGCATACCTATGCCCCGTCAAAACAACCCCATAATCCGGAAACAGCGCCTTCTGCTCCTGCAGACGAGCCTGCACCTGCTCGACAATCGATACCCAGGCGAGATAGTACCCGCCATGGACCTCACAGCCCTCACACTGCGGGAAAATGTCGAACGGCGCAAGCGTGTAGTTCGTATCCGTCGCGTAGTTCTGCAGCGACTCGGTGCCGCGGAACACGGCGAGGATCTCGCGCGCGCCGTCGTCGCGCAGGATCCAGCCGTGCACGTCGGTTGTGCTGTTGGTGATGTCGCTGATCTTGGTCATCCCCCCGGGCACGATGCACAGGTCGTTGAGGTAGGTGGACATGCAGAGCGTGGCCATCTGGGTTAGGCGGGCTAGGAGGGGGGCGGAGATGCCTTTGATGATGGCGCAGAGGGAGGGTGGTAGTAGCAGCAGGAGTAGTAGGAGCATTTGCATTTGCGTTTGCATTTTCGTTACAGGAAGTGTCTTCATCGTAGAATGGATTAGTTATTCTATCGAATGTGAACTGGTATAGAGATACTGATTCAATGAGGGAATCGTCCAGCTCGACAGATTGGAGAGATTACATATATACCTGGATAGGGCTTGCTGCTAGCATTGTATACGTACATCACTACTTCCTGCAGAATTAATCCTAAATATAATTATTTAGACCTTGAATAGTGACTGATATTAATACTAATACTCATAAACCTCGGTATAAAGACCTTCCTGCGGATCGCACATGCTGTGAACCTCGGCAGTCTTAGCCTCAGTCTCGGCAGGCAGGTCTGTACCAACATGAAACAGACCTAATTAGTAGTAGACGAGCCTGGCGTGCTTGTGCGAAGTTTAGTTGAAAATAATTGGGTAGGATGTAGTTTCGTCATGTCTAGATATTAGGTAGGCTATGCTTTGTCCTTATAGCATATGAAGAGATGCATGTATAAAGGGTTAATAACAATCAAATACGGATTGTTCTGCTTGCAAGTAAGTAATTCGCTGTTAACCTCTTACATAAAGATTCAGTTCAACTGGTAGGTATTTATCTTTCTTTCCTTTCTTGGCAAGTAAGCATCCACGGGGCCTCTGCATAATGTCTCCATGCTTTTTTTTTTCATAACATAAATTTTCTTCTTTTTATTCTCATCGTTTTGTTTTTCAAGATGTTTGGTTTATGCCGTGGATTAGTTTAACTAGAAGACATGTACTTTTTATAGCGATGCTAACTAAGCTAAGCTTCCCCGCGGGCTAATGCAACCCCGCATTTCACTAACTACGACTAACACGGAGTTACTGTGCTAGAACAGCACACTAACCAAGGGCTGGGGATGGATGCTTGAGGCGTCCTGCCTGTGCCACCTGCAGTGGCATCTGCCAACATGCACATCCGAGAACTCACCATCGCCCGATTCCACGACGCCCTCCGCGCCGGCCAGACGACATGCCACGCCGTCACCGCCGCCTATCTGCGCCGCATATCGGCCTATGACCCCGTCCTCAAAGCCCTCATCTGCGTGAACAAGAACGCCCTAGACGCCGCTCGGCAGAAAGACGTCGAGACGGCTGCCATTCTCGCCCGGAATGACCGAAAGTTGCCCCCTCTCCACGGCGTCCCCCTCATCCTGAAAGACACGTACGGCACCAAGGACATGCCCACGACGGCCGGATGCAGGGCCCTCTCCAGTCTCCAGACGAAAGACGACGCCTTTGTCGTGCGCAAGCTCCGTGTCGCGGGCGCCATCATCCTCGCCAAAGCCAACCTCCACGAGCTGTCGATGCAGGGCATCACCGTGTCGTCGCTGGGCGGGCAGACGCGCAATCCGTACGATCTCAGCCGCACGCCCGGCGGCTCGTCCGGCGGCACGGCGGCTGCCCTCGCTGCGAATCTAGGGCTGGGTGGCTGTGGCGGCGATACGATGAACTCGCTGCGCTCGCCCGCGTCGGCATGCGCCATCGTCGGCTTCCGTCCTACGGCCGGCCAGGTGTCGCGGAGCGGGACGGTGCCGGTGGCTCATACGCAGGACGCCGTGGGCCCGATGGCCAGGACGGTGCAGGATGTCCGGGTCCTGTTCGAGGTGATGAGGGGAGAGGATCCCGCGGATCCGATCACCTTGTCTGCGGAAAGAGATGCAGCAGCAGCCACTACTACTACTCCGAGACGCAGATATCGGATCGGCGTGCTAGACACATATTTCGGACAGGAAAGTGGCAGCGACAAGGCGGAAATCTCCACCGTCAACAAGACCGTCCTCCACGCACTGGATAAAGGCCGTCAGCACGGTCTCGTCGAGCTGGTGCACGTCTCTTTACCAGCAGACTGCGACGTGGCATCGCTCCTCGCATCGACAGATGTCCAGTCGTACGAATTCCGCGAAGCAATCGACTCATTCCTGCAGTCTGATTTCATTCAGCACACGCCGCACAAGACGCTCGAGTCCATTTCCAGGCATGAAGGAGGGTACCTCCGCGAGGCCATGTCGCAGTCCTTCTTCGAGACGCTGCTGCAGTCCGACACCTTCAACACGTCGAGCCCGGAGTACGGCGTCCGACTGCGTCGTATCGCGAAGCTGAAGGAGTCGCTGGCGGATTGCTTCCGTCGGTTCGGCCTCGATGCCCTCGCTTACCCGCACCAGAGGGTTCTCGTCAGCAGAATCGGGCCGATGAACAACCAGCCTGGTCGGAATGGCATCCTGGCGGCGCTGACGGGGAGGCCGGCGATTTGCATTCCTGGTGAGTACGACCTCCACATTGACCTAATAAATTCAATTTGCGATTTTGAGTCATTCACCGTAACGCCCGTTCTGACCGACTGACTGACCTACGACCCTTTTTTTTCTGAAACAGCCGGATACAGTCCCCCCTCAGACCCAGACTCAACCTCAGACTCAGCCCTCGGCGTCCCCATCGGGCTGGAATTCCTCGGCCAGCCGTGGAAAGACTTTGAGCTGCTCGACCTAGCGGAGCGATTCGAGGAGGTGCTGCAAGCGAGGAAGGATCCGGAGGAAGTTTTGCGATCTGCTGTGCCAGCGACAGCTGCAGAAGCAGCAGCAGCAGCAGCAGCAGCAGCAGAAGTTCTTGCGTAGGGATCTTGATCTTGATCTGGACAGGAAGAAAGAAATGACGCTAGATGGAGGAGAATGAATGAATGAATCGACGACCGAAGGGAGGAAAACAAGATGAAATAAACGTCTTCCTCCAAAGACTCTGATTATGATTATAAACATAGCGCCTCCATGTTGTCAGTCTGTCCATCTCTATGTACTGTACATACACATAGCCACCCACATACATACATGGCGTACATAACTCGCACATCTTCAGATGATAACTTGCAAAGAGGATAAATGGTATAAATGGTATAAAAGATATGCCCCGTATTCGCAGTCAACTTGAGTTCATTCATCCCTTAGGAAGGGAATTCATTTCGTTGACAGCAGTCACCTGGTTTCGACGTTCTCCCCCCTTTCCTTTCTATTTTATTCTTTTCTTTTTTTTTCCCCTTCTTTCCTTCCTTATTCTTCCTTACATCCCCCGATTAAACTCGACCATCCCACCTTCACCGCCCTTGTCCCAAAACTCCTCCTCCAAACTGCGCGCGCTGATCGCCTGCCGCTGCGGGAACGCCCCCAAGGCGAGGGGCAGCGCGAAAATCGACGTCGTCAGGATCAGACCCAGGTTGACCGGCAGCACCAGCCTGGGCCGCGTCTTCAGCCAGTCCATCTTCTCCAGCCGCACCAGGATCAGCGGCGGCAGGACCATGATCGGCGTCGCGTTCAGCACCCGGCTGATGGCCGTTTCGCTCACGGCGATGGTGGCCGCCTTCTTGCTCTTGCCCAGGCTCTGCACCGGCTCGCCCGTCGCTTCGCGCTTCTTCTTCTCTTCCTCTGACAGGACCGGGTAGACGTCGATGCCGCGACGCATCTCTTCGCCGCGCATCAGGAGCACGTTGAGCGCCGTCGCGCTGGACACGGCCGCGAAGGGGACCAGACGGCTGAGAATGAGTCGGGTGTTGGGCGAGACATTCTTCAGGCGGGGCACCAGCGCATTAAGACCGAGCGCGACGGAACACGAGGCCGAGACAGCCATGAGATAGGACTTGACCATCATGGAGGTGGTCAGGGGGGTCGATTTGTTGGCGTTGGCGCTGTTGATGGCGACGTTGAGGGACTGGTTGGCAATTTGCCAGAGGAGGGTGCCAGTGGTCTAACCAAGGCAAACGTGAATTTATGCCATTTCATTTTGCTTGTTACATGTGCATACCTTCAGCCCAGGCGTCAGCATCCCGGCCGTCACGACCAAGTTCGACAGGACGAAGCAGGACATGCGAAACGGGAGAAAGACCGGTTCGCCGGTATCTATGGTTGTCAGCCCGCAAACAGGCCAATTGAACTGCCATTTTCTGTCCTACCAGGGTGTAACGTCGAGTCGACCACTTTTTTCGCATACCACAGCTCGGGTGTCATCTCTTTGATCTGGCCCTGCTTGTAGGCGGTAACCAGGCGCTTCGCATTCTCCAAGCCTGCGGACGAGACGAACAGCATTCTATTGAGAAAAAAAAATCAGCATCGCGAGAAAGATATTTCCACGGGAACAGCGTTTGCATTCTACCTCGGGTCCGATATGCTGGCTGACTCGCGGACTCGCCCCCAGTAGGTGTTCAGGTCGTACTGGGAACGGGGCAGTTCCCGACTGCCAGGGAGAGAGGACGACATTGCGCAGGGCAGGAAGAGCGAAAGATCCGGGCGAAAGATCCGGGCGCTGAACGAATTGACTAGAATTAGATATATAAAACGAAAGAAACGAGGGGAGGGCAGGCCAGGAAGGAAAGAAGGAATTGAGAACGCGGGCTGATTATTGAATTGGGGGGCTTGATTAATCGAGTCAAAAATGGTGGAAACGGTTATCGGAGGCGGTGAGCGAGATAACGGTCGCCCGTCGGTTATACAAGGAATCCGCCATCCAATCATATTCGATTTCCGTTATCGAAGTCCATCAGTTGTACATGTACAGCACTACTACACTGTATCTACTCAGCCTTCGTCAATTGATGAACATCTCATATTCCATTGCTCTGTCCACTAGCGGAACTATATCTGAAAGTTTTGTCGCAGCGTTGAAGAACTCATTTCCCTGCATTCACCGAAGATATGTTATAGGGGTTTAAATAATTCTGTCATGGATGTGAGGACTGAATTAGTTAACTCATATCCTTTGCCATACTGCTTGTATAAAATTTACCATCTACTTTCCAGATGGGCTGGAATTGCAATCCATACTGCTCTGTATATTGCTTATAATACCGCACAAGGGTATCTTCAGCAAATCTGCTAAGATATGAACTACAGCCTAGCAATCTCAACTCTTTCTGTCCCTGTCCATGATCAACGATCAATCAATCAATCAACCAATCGACCAGACAAAGAAAAGAATACCTTAAGACAGTCCAAGCCGCCCCTCAACCTTCATCCTCCTCGCAACATCAATACACCGAGGCACAACCTCCCTACCCAAAGCTAGATACTTCTCCTCGAGTCTCTTGGCCTCCTCACCATTCTCATCCCGCACCTCTGGATGCGGGAATACGAAGGTGAACGTGAGGAACAGATCTGATCCACTCGTGGCAGCGGCAGCGTGAGAGATGATGTTCGAGACAGATTGGCCTGTTGCAGAGATGTGGAAGTCGACCTGTAATGATTATATTCACAGTGTCAGTCAGTGACAATCTAAATAAATGGAAATTCCCCTGAAGGATATATGTACCCTCATCTTCCCAACAAACCTCACCACCTCCTCCAGTTCTTCTTCCCCCTCTCGACCCTTGAACAGGACCCTTCTCGTCAGACCCCTCCCATCCTCGTGCTCCCGGACAACGGTCGACTTTTCGATCTGCGGCACGAATTCTTCTGGCTGGCGTGCTTTGGCCAGCAGCGCTGCCCAGAGGTCGTCGTGGGTTAAGCGGATGGGGGGATTGGTTGACGATTCGTTGTCGTTGTTGTTGACGGGTGCTGTGACGGATACGGTGATAGTGACCATTTTTTTTCCCTCTTTTTTCTTTTATTTATTCTTTTTTTTCCTTTTCTTCTTCTCTGGTCCTTTGTTTTTGACCTGGTTGTCCTTCAAGATGTGGACATACGTATACGTAGTACTCCGTATCGAGACAGAAGAATAATCAGAAAGAAAAAAAGAAAAGAAAAAAATGCGTCAATTAAATGAACAATTCAATCCTTGAATTATGTCTGCAGTACAAGACAATTGACAAAGTTATCTCGATCTGTGTTCCTCACTTGAACCGTCAATGCTCATCTGTATAGATATACCTTACACACGCATACGGAGGGAATGCGGGGTAATACATGGCATTCCGTTTTGGCATTGAGGGGCGAGTGTCTGACCGCGTGAAGAGTGCTTGGTAACTGGAATACTCCGTAATAACTGCCTGTTCTAATCACGTGTGAGTGTTCTCTCGAGCTAGTCGATTGACTTCGTGAGCAAAGGCGATTCACCGCCGTATCTCACCTGTGACAGGCGTGTAGGCTTATTTGAACGGTCATTCACTGCCTATGTCGTTGGCGTAATAGAAATTGAATTTATCACGAGAGTGTCATGAGTGACAAGGCCTACGAGTGAAGGTGAAGTTTCGTCTGATATTAACTGTAAACCCCTGAATATATAAGATAATCAGATCGACCTGCGACTTTTCAATCCAATAGCCCATAACCAAGGATACATCATAGATACACATAAATAGTTATGCAAAGTTTCCCTTTGGGCCGAAGAAAAGAGAGACATCGTCACCAACTGATCAGGTAGCCACCCCCCCCCCCCCCCCCTCCCCTCTTCGTAGGAAGCTTCCATTGGAACTCGTGGAAGTCATCCTCACGGCAATACCATATGTAACCCAAATAAGAACGCCAAAGAACCGATAAATCACTCCAAAAGATAAGTCCACAGTAAGATGAGAATGTTAACAAGATGGCAATAGAAAGAAAAATCCAATCCGTACAAGTCTGCCCCCGGAGCAGTTCGAATTAAATAAACCCCCACTGATCCTCTTTTACCTTGTGAGGAGCTCCATACCCTATTATCCCATCCCTTCGACGCGAGTCAGACGCCTCGACACCCCAGAAACACAGTCCCATCCACCCTGCCTTGCTCCCCACCGATAAAAAATCCCACTTGGCCTCATAAATCACACCATGAACAGCAATAGCAACGTGTCATCCACTGATGAGTTCTCTCTAATAGTGGTCACAATTATCCTGATTCCTTTATCCACCGCGATAACCCCAAGAGGACACACGGCTAGCATTGCTTGATCAATAAGGTGGTATGATGCAGACGTGAGCAGCGATCAGTATGTCGAAGTTAGCCTCCTCGTTGCTGCTGCTGCTGCTGCTGCTGTTGAGCGCGCAGCTGCTGACCAATCCGAGCAGCCTCAGTGCCATCGTCGATGATGGTCTCCTTAAACCAAGGGTGCTTGAGGGCCTCCTTGGCGGTGATACGATTCTTCGGATCATAGACAAAGATCTTCTTAAGCAGGTCCAGGAACTGTCGGTTGAAACTGTTGTTGGATGGAATGAATTCCTGCGACCAGTCAGTACAATACTCATTTGGAATCAACAGACAAGCAGCAACTTACATGAAGCTGTTTCATCGCCTTCACGTATTTGCGGGACGCTCGTGACGTCTCTTCGTTCGGATAGTCGAGCTTGTTTCTGTTGAAGTACCTGTCATGGGTCAGCGTCTCATCCGAATTGTATCTGAATTTTGATCAAAACATACTTGGCTGCCGCATTTTGATTGCTGCCTCGGCCGCTTACCACCTGCTTGACAAGCTTCGCATCGATCTTGCTTCCGCATACACTCTCCATCATCGCCAGATGTTCGAGGTTGTCATGCGTCTGGAACAGGGCGTCTCCCGTGAAAAATTCCACCAGGATGCAGCCAATACTCCAAATGTCACAAGGGAAACTCCAACCCAGATTCAGGATAATCTCAGGAGCCCGGTAGTGACGCGTCGAGACGACGGAGGAATGATACTCATCGTCAAAGGTGGCCGAACCGAAATCGATCAGTCGAATCTCACTGTCAAGAAGAACGCGGCGTTGACGCGCGTTCCGGCACGTTGTGTGGGAAGACGAAGGGATGGTGCGGTTGTAGGTGAACGTCTGATAGGCATTGTTCACCAGAAGAATGTTCTCCGGCTTCAGATCAGTGTGGATGAGGTTGAGATCGTGTAAGACTGTCATCGGAGTCAGTAACTTCCTTCTTGTGAGGTAGTAAGGAAACAAAACATACAAGCTACACTGGTAAACAGCTGGCGAGCAAAACTCTGAATCTGACTGCTTGGGAATGGCACAAAACCGTTGGCCTTGAGAAAGTCGAAAACGCTCTGTCCCAGCAGATCGGTGACAATGCAGATATGATTCCGGAAATCAAAGCAGTCTCGCAAGTGGATACACCTGTTCCGATTCTGCCGATCGTTGGAAGCCAAAGTCGACAGCACTCGTAGTTCGATCTTGGAAGCATCTCGATATTTCTGGACGGAGCGGATGATCTTGACTGCACACCGGGTTTTGCGTTGTCGATCATACGCTTCCACTACCTTGCCGAACGTGCCTTGGCCAAGCAATCTGATGATCTGGTCTAGGACGAGTCAGCAAGCAGTCATAAAAAGAAGTCCTCCCAACTAAAGAGGGAACGTACATCGGTCAGTCAAGGGTGTATCTGGAGTCACAATGTAGTGGCCATCCTCATCGTCGATCTTTTGATTTTTCGTGTCCGAATTCTGTCATGGAAGCGTTAATATCGATATATAGCAGACAAAAAGGTTTACTGGGTAGAAATGGGTGGTCTTACATCACGGATGACCGGGACTGGCACATCCTTGGCCTTGATCGGGGGTTGGGGAGGAGGGATGTAGTTCAAAAACGCATCTGGAGCCGACTCCAGTTCCCGACGTTTCTGCTCATCTCGAGCCGACTTACGGGTGGTGACACGCTTCCGTTTTTGACCAACATTGGCATCTTCGTAGTACGCCCCATTGCTCGTCCCAGTGCTACCATTGGATCCCATAGACGTGGGAGCAGTGGTGTGTAAGGATGTGGTTCGGTCGGTCGAGAGGGATCCTCCGGAGGAACTGTCACCGTACGGCTGAGGGTTCATCGAGTACGAAGGACGGTCGTAATATCCCACATCGTACGCCGTCTCCACGCCCGTCCTCCTCTTCTTCTCAGCCGGCTGGGCGACTGTTCCGTTGTTCGTGGCCGTCACCGTGGAAGAGGGAGCATTGCTGTGAGACGCCGTCTGCTGTTGCTCTGGCGGAGGGGTGTCGTCAATGACAATGACCTCCTTGGGCAAGCCATTTTTGTAGAACTCGCCCCAATCGGGCTGCTTCCGCCGCCGCCCGGACGGGCCAGACGACATGGAACCGCTGCTCGAGGTCGGATTATAGGGAGGCAGATTGGAGGTCGACGAGGAGGGGGCGGTTTTCGACGCAGACGGGAGAGGATGGGGTTGTGTAGACACCGAGGTCGGCGTGTTGGCGGCGTAGGCGTAATTGTTGGCTATACGAGCAGAGCCAGCGGACGACGAGGTCTGCGGGTAAGCACCGTTGGTCTGGTAGGCAACCTGATGATGGGAATATCCATAATGCGATGGATGGGTTGCGGTAGCTGTCGAAGGGGTCGACATGATGGAATGGACACGAGGACCGGTGTAGGCTGTCGGTTGGTGGCACGGGTGGCCCGATGAGCGAGGCTCCTCGCAATCGATGCCGCTGGGGACCTCGAGCTGAAGACAGGGTGCCTCCAGGAGCGATCTGGAGGCAAATTTCTCTCTCTTTCTCGATGAGACCTTACGCCAGGCTCATCCGGATGATTTTCTGAGATGGTTTCGATGATGGACGCAGGCAAATGGGGGAATTCGTGAGACGGGGGGGATACTGTGGTGTGGAAGGGTCGGAATGATGACTCGCAAAGCGGTCAGCGATCGCGGATCAGCCCAGACAGGCGGGTGTCATGCGATGGCTGTGTAGGAACGACCAGGGCTCAAGGCAAATCGACGAAAGAATTAATGTGCCATTTGGTTGTGGATTGCCCACGCGGACAGACTCGAGATGGAGAAGGGGGAATGCTCTCAGGGTGGGCGTCTGAGGCAAGAACGGCGTCCGGAACAACGATTATGGCAGTCCGTTAGTCAACCTTGGACGACTGGGGGACTGCTGCGGATGGAGACGCCTGGCCTTTGGGGGCGTGCAGCCTTCTGCGGTCTCCCACTTCTTGTTTTACGCTCTTTCAGTTGGTCCAGCACTTCATCTAACAGTCTACTCTTTGCTCTGCTGGCGTTGTGCTGTACCACCATCACTATCGCCATCTGACGGATACGGCGCTGCTTACGGAGCACGCTGCTCCAGGGCTAGATTCACAGTATTCTGCCGGATTCAATTCCCACCCTATGGCTAGTCCGCTAACTTCGGCTAAGTCCTAACGCCGCTCGACCCTTTTTTTTCCCCATTATTATTATTCTTTCAGTAATAGAATAGTAGTATATCAGGGATATTCTCCGATAGCCCGGTAGTTGCAACCCTTCAGACGATTCCGTGTGGCTGACAAAGCACTGCTGATGACCAGAAGAGAACCTCAAAAAAAGACTCCACTGCTCTGGAAGCCATTGGAAAGGCAAAGCCAAAGCCATGGCCCGAGTGGCGCATCACTCTTTCTCAGCGTACTGTCGATGTCATAATAATGGGAGGGCTTCTGGGGCCGACCGGGCCCGACCACACCCCTCTCGAGAGCAGAAATCAGAAGACCTAATCGGCGCCACGCCTTTCTTAGCCTGTCTAATTCGAGTGTAAAATCTATCCCAAACCAGCTCCTCCCTGGGCAGATATTTTCTTTATAATAGCAGTCAATAATGTTCGAACACTGAGAAATAGTGGGCTGTTTTGTGTCGTGGAGGGCGGTTATAGGAGGGAGCTCCACGGTATTTTTAACTTGAAACAAAACATCCTCTCAGGCGCTAAAAATTAAAGATATCGCACTTCCAAAGGGCCCGCCAGTCGAGTGAAGCGGTAAAAGAGGAGGCTGGGCAAGTAAAGAAAAAAAAATAAGATCAAGACTCCGTATTGATAGGAGTGGGACTGCACACATCTTTCCCTACTAGAATTCACCCATGGTGGACCACAAACAAGTCGTCATCAATTATACGGACTACATACCTGACTCACAAAATCACTGGTGCTTCATTCCACCAGTTGAGATACGTAGATGAAGCTACAGTGACAGCTTTTGTACCTGCGAGACTGTGTGTGAGCCTCCTACTCGGTCGGTCGTTATTACCCCACATTTGCACTGGAGAAAGCGGTCCTCTACGGAGTACTCAAGGAATCTGGGGATGACAGACAGCAAAGCTCTTAGAAGTCGGACAGACCTGTTCCCAAAAGCAAGAAAAAAAATTCCATGACTCCAATTAGGTGTGTCGCCTACGTATTGTCATCTCATGGGCACTTATCTCGCGTGCTTTCGCCTTCGAACAGCCCAGACCGAAAGGGACCAGGAGCAGACTGACAAAACGACTGAATCCAAGCAAGATTCGTCGATCGCTGAATGTCTTTATTGTACAGTACATCTATACACACCTGCAGTAAACTAGACAGACAAGTCTAGATGAATCTTGAGGCTCAAATTGATTCCAGCAGCTTAGACTGGGGAAAAGTGCCATGGAAAATCAAGATCATATATATATTGATTGATAATGCTCGTGATCGGCAAATTAATCGCGTCGTCTGATTCAATCCATTTTCCAATTCATCAATTAAAAAGCTAAGTTATGGTAACAGCCGGAATGATAGGAGAGTCTTCCATGCTTTTCAGGATGCGGAAACAAACAAAAGCCATCGATGCAAGGTACCGGACCCTTGGTAAATGGTTTCAACAAGTAACGCATACCAGTAGACCTTGGCTAGGATGGAGCCCGCCCACAGGTCTACATGCATCCTCTCCTCTCCTTCCAGCTGTTGGTGTCTCGAAAGACGAAATGAGGCAGAGCATCAAGAAGCAAGAGCAGGTGATGTACAATTTACAGGCTGCATGAAACATAATGCAAGGCAAAAGCCCGCAGTTAACAACATTAGTGATGAAACCGTTGGAAAAGTTAGCCAGCGAAAATGAGTCATAGGCGTCCCTCGAACCAGAATTCCCCGGGAGAGGAACCACATGTAGAACCTTCAGTGTGGGTTGTATCCATCCAGATAATGAGCTTTCCCGCTCAAGGTCATTCGTGGCTCGCTCAGAGTGCAATGCATCTCTCTCGCGGTGGAGAATACGCGAAAGGAGCCATCCTCCATTCTGGAGACGAAAATGATGATTTGTCTGGAAGTGCACCAATAATGAATGGTGCGCATCAAGAACTGAGACCAATCAGTTCACGCGATCCTCCTTTAAATCTTTCGAGTAAGCCTTTTGAACATGTCTCAAGCCTCTTCCATCTTGCTCGAGAGCAAACAAAAGATCCCGCATTTGTATCCCGGCACCTTTTTCCTTATCCTCTCGCCAATCTCCCAGCCGCTTTGTCGCAGCAGCAGCATTGGCATCGCCCAACTTCCCACCCTTGTCTCCGATATTTGATGGAGCATTGAGGCGGGGAGTAGAGAAACTAGTATTCGTACTCGTGCCCCTGTTCAACCAAGAATATGTCTTCTTGGTATTACCAAACATTCGACCGGATAACATGTTATTCGTAGCCATTCGCGCTGTTTCGATAGATTGCTGATGTTGTTGTGCCTCGCTTGCCCTGGCATCCATCTGTTTCTTAGCCTCCTTCTTCGTCATGCCTTTCTTATCAGGACCAAGGGCCTTGTCCCCAATGACGCTTGAGGGAGTGGCGGAACCGGAGCCCGGGACATCAACGGAGGTTGCCCTGCTACCGCTCTCCCCTAGAATGGCGTTGGCACTTCGTTTTGCGCGTTTTGCCGCACGAGCTTCCTCGCTCGACACATCTTTGCTGGCCATTAAGCGATATTTCTCAGCTAATCTACTGGTGGCGGTACTCTCGGTAGCAGAGTGGGGACCTATATAGATCTGATTAGTATCCATCTGCGCAAAAAAAAAATCATTCCAAGGAAAGTCGTACGTTTCGAAGACATAGTCTTCGGGCTTAGTGCACTATCCGGCTCCGGAGCAGGAGCTGCTACATCCTTCCACTCTTGGGGAACAGCGCCATGGGAGTGTAGACGTCGGCTTTTTGCAAGAGTCGAAGCGTATTCGATTACCATCCTCAGCCGCTCTTCGCAACACAGCGACACGAGTGTCAGGATATCCACAAGAGGAGCCCCTTCTTGGTTCACAATAGTCTGGCCCTTGCGCACAGTAGACGACCCATCCGGGCCTGTAACCTCAATAGGTTGAGGACGCCCTGGAACGGGATGAAACAGACCTTCGGTGGGTATACGAACGCCCAACTCAAAGCCACGCTTCTGTAATTTCTGCTCCAGGACCTTTGTAAGAAGGAATGGATCTTGGAGATGATACTGAGCGCGCCTAGCTGCCTGCGTATTCTCTGCGGTTGGCTCATTAGGATCTTTGAAGGGTACACCCTGGCTCTCTGCGATGTAGGTTGATTCTTGGGTGGTCGGAGGCTTTCCTTGTGAGAAATCGAAGCTGGTGCCCGTCGATGCTGTACCCGGCGTAGAAACCTGAGACGTGAAGGAAGTGGTCATAACCGGGGCCTGCGGTCGCTGTGGCTGCTGAGCCTGCATAGCAGTTGGCGCATAACTGTTTGTGAGATATGCTTCCTCTTCCTTCACGTCGATTCCTGACGATGCCAGAACATCCGTAAGCTCAGAAGCATCTGTTGGCTTTTCCACCGGTCGTGATGGAGGGCCCATAGAGCCTGGGGGAGCAGGCGCGGGAGCAGCATTCGGCGTGGGCGCTGGTCCCGGCGCGGAAGCCATGCCGTTGACATTTGTGCCGTTCATCGTGGGAGACGGATTCTGTGGGAGCTGCAGCGTTCCAAAGCTGGGGGAGGCGTAGGGTGACTGTGGATGAGGAGAGAGGCGTTGTCGTTTCGGTGGAGGAGGTATAGCACCTGCATTTGCCGATGAGGTGGCGCTGGGCGACGGAGAAGAGACAGGCGGAGGAGAGAAGGACTGGGAGGAGTACTGTTGAGGCTGAGTCTGCGCCATGGTGATTTAAGGTGTTGGAAGCTCCGGTTATCGTCGCTCTGATCAGTAAATATGCCACGACTATCGAGGTGAGATGCTCGCGCCTGGACGACAGCGAGCGAAGTGCTCAAACCAGAACCCTCCGCCAGCTGTGACCATCTCAGAGCCGCCCGCGAGACGCCCTCATGAAGCGCAAACGAAGGAAGACAGCCGTGAACTGGGAGTCAGCGGAGAAGGTGACGGGTCGAGTCATCGACCGATGGGTTGCGAGTGAAGAGAGCTCTGTCAAAGACGGGTTGAAGCCGCAGATCGGCCGTCTTGACAAGCGCGCGTCCCCGGAACCGCCAGTCACGTGGCGCGTTTCCCGCGCTCCGGCGCCCCATCAGGCGTCTAGCGGCCTCTTAGTCTTAGCGCTCTGCAGCCAGCAAGCACCTACCTAAGGTACCTACTGCGAAAGGAGCCGAAGAGAATCGCCTGGAGCTCTCTGCCCACGGTCTGCTGTCTACACTGCTGGGTAGGGACGCTGTCTTAGTCGTGTGTGATGTGCGGCCATTGAGCCCGTGCTGCCATGGCGTCTCGTTTGTCCTGAGTGAATCCAGTTGGGTCCGTCGCAGCGCCATCACGTCTCCGACGCTTCTGTCAGCTTCTCACTCTGTATCATTATCTTACTTTCACTGCCAAGATTTACGAGTCTATGACCCTTCCTTTCAAATTCTACCTTTTCTTTCATCTTCCAAGACTCCCTAGTTCGCCATGGCGACAAAGCGCAAGGCGTCGGCGATGACGGCCCCTGCGGACGATGAGCCCGTCGACCCGTCAGACGAGCTCGTCTTCTATTGCCTGGGTGGTGGCAATGAGGTCGGACGTTCGTGTCATATTATCCAGTACAAGGGGAAGACAGTCATGGTGAGTGGCGTTCAATTTTGCTGAATGACTGCTCTTGAGACTAACTTCGTCTTTGAAATAGCTTGATGCCGGGATGCATCCTGCCAAAGAAGGTTATGCGGCTCTACCTTTCTTTGACGAGTTCGACTTGAGCACAGTGGATGTCCTTTTGATAAGCCAGTACGTCGCCCTCTCCTTTGTTCTTCGGTCACTTTTTTTATGGTGCACACATGCTCCCCGTGAAGAAAAAAGATTGTGTTGCCGTACTAGGGGCGTTGGTTCTATTGCTACTGCACAGACGGCTATCGTTGACGATGTGGAATCCCTTACTCAACAAACCATGCCCCAATCTGCCACATGTAGATCAGAAAATCAATGCAAACTGTTTGAGCTTTCATCAAGTGTCCAGCTGCGTACGCTTCTGTATGCCCATGGCTGTCGTCGACTTCTAAGGCATCCTTTTATGTCCTGCGTCTTATTGCTGCTACTAGCTTCTTGAGTATTGAAACTGGGTGGCATCAACCGCTAATACTCGGCTCTGTATCTATGCAGTTTTCATGTCGATCATTCCTCTGCCCTTCCGTATGTCTTGAGCAAGACGAATTTCAAGGGTCGCGTTTTCATGACGCATGCGACGAAGGCGATTTACAAATGGCTTATCCAGGACAACGTTCGGGTCAGCAATACCTCGTCATCGTCCGATCAGCGAACCACCCTATACACGGAACATGACCATCTTTCGACGCTACCGTTAATAGAAGCCATCGACTTTTATACCACCCACACCATCAACAGTATCCGGATCACTCCGTTTCCTGCCGGCCATGTGCTGGGAGCGGCTATGTTTTTGATTTCAATCGCCGGCCTCAATATACTGTTCACTGGGGATTATTCTCGAGAGGAGGACCGTCATCTGATTCCTGCAGAGGTGCCCAAGGGCGTCAAGATCGACGTGCTTATTACGGAGTCGACGTTCGGTATCTCTACAAATCCGCCTCGGCTGGAGCGTGAAGCAGCGCTCATGAAGACCGTCACCGGGATTCTCAACCGTGGAGGCAGGGTGTTGATGCCAGTCTTCGCCTTGGGCCGCGCCCAGGAACTGCTTTTGATCCTGGATGAATACTGGGAGCGGCATCCGGAACTGCAGAAAATCCCCATCTACTACATCGGAAATACGGCGCGAAGGTGTATGGTGGTGTACCAGACCTATATTGGGGCGATGAATGACAACATCAAACGTCTCTTCCGCCAGCGCATGGCGGAGGCTGAGGCGAGCGGTAACAAGAACGTCAGTGCAGGCCCCTGGGATTTCAAGTTTGTACGAAGCCTTAGGAGCCTGGAGCGTTTCGATGACGTCGGGGGTTGTGTTATGCTTGCGTCTCCTGGTATGCTCCAGACCGGCACGAGCAGAGAGCTTCTCGAACGATGGGCACCAAGCGAACGCAATGGAGTTATCTTGACCGGCTACAGTGTGGAGGGAACAATGGCGAAGCAGCTCCTCAATGAACCGGAACAGATTCCCGCAATCATGGCAAGAGTATCGACAGGCCCAGGAGGTCGCAGGGTACCGACGGCAGATGACGACCAGAAAGTCATGATTCCAAGAAGGTGTACAGTCGATGAAATTAGTTTTGCTGCTCATGTGGATGGTGTGGAGAACAGGAACTTCATCGAGGAAGTTGGAGCTCCCGTTGTTGTATGAGTTACCTTTCTCCTATCTTTTTTCTGGATTCAGTCTAACTGGAGAATCAGATACTGGTTCACGGAGAAAAGCATCAAATGATGCGATTGAAATCCAAACTTCTCAGTCTCAACGCAGACAAAGCCGTCAAGGTGAAAGTCTATACTCCGGCTAACTGTGAAGAAGTTCGGATCCCTTTCAAGAAGGATAAGATCGCCAAAGTCGTTGGCAAGTTGGCAGAGGTTGCGCCACCATCTGAAGCGGATAATTCGCAACTCATGACCGGCGTCCTGGTGCAGAATGGGTTTGATCTGTCATTGATGGCGCCAGACGATCTGCGGGAGTATGCCGGTCTGACAACAACGACTATAACCTGCAAACAACATCTCACTCTCAACTCTGCAAGTATTGATTTAATAAAGTGGGCACTTGAGAGCACCTTTGGCGCAATCGAAAAGATTGGTTCTACCCCAAGTCAGGACATCAAAAAAGAAAATGCCGACAGCAGCGCCTCCAACGGAGCGGATGTGAATGGAAACGTGGAGAAAGAGGAAGCCGCAGATGAGGAGATTACGTTTGCGGAGAAAGAGACGTACTTGGTCATGGGCTGCGTGATTGTGAGGTACACACCCCGAACGCGGGAGGTCGAGTTAGAATGGGAGGGTAATATGATGAATGATGGGGTTGCCGATGCGGTCATGGCGGTCCTTCTGACCGTCGAAAGCAGCCCTGCGTCTGTGAAACGTGAGTAACTGCTGACAGGACGCCTTTGATAAGTACTTGCTGACCCGTCAATCCGCAGAATCCTGCAAGCACAGACAGCACGACCATGACGCCCCCGAGATTCAAAACCCACATGCCTACCTAAATTCTGAAGAGCGGTTCGAACGTCTTCTCATGATGCTTGAGGCGCAGTTTGGACCCAATATTACTCCCATCGAGCGACCACGTCTGACCAAGTCCACCGCACACCAGAACGGTGTCGCGGAGTCCGGAGCCGTTGAGCCAACGCCTAAGGACGAGGAGAATGGCGAGGAGGAGGACGAGGAGCAGCTAGCTAAAGCAGAAGCTGCCGAACTGGCTCGTCTTCACTCGTTGGGTATTCCAGTCCCCGGAATCGAGATCAAGGTCGATAAACACGTCGCCCGTGTCTGGCTGGAGGACCTGGAGATCGAGTGCTCATACCCCGTCCTGCGGGACCGGGTCAGGGTAGTCGTTGAGCGGGCCGTCGAGACGGTTGCCAGCATGTGGGCTGGGGAAAAGCCGTCTTCTTCATTGCGTTCCCGCACAACGAACGGAAATGGGGTAGGAAATAATAAGCTCATGGAAGAGAAAAAGCCGGAACCTGTTGGTGCTGAAGCATGAGCGTGGATGGATGATATTTATGTACAATAACACGTCCTAGCAATTACATTACTGGTCTGGACCGATATCGTCTACTATTTGTAATCCGAGTCATAGCCAGTACACACAACGTGAAGACTGGCTTTAATTTCGGGTAGTAATCCCCATCCATCACCTTCACTTTGCTGCCTTCGGCTGCATGCTGATGGAGGTCCACTAACAGGATGTGATTCCCCCCTCCTCCCCAGGGAGAAAGCGCAAGATAATTAATTACCCTATGCAACCTATTAGGTAAGACCTAAGGTGATTTCTTCTTAGAGAGTATTACTATATTAGCTGACCGGTTCACCTAGAGGATCCTGGTCCTGAGTCAAGGCTTGACGCAAAATAAAAAAGTTATAAATTTCTGGATAGTTATAGAAGTAGATGATATAAAACAATATTTTTAGAATAAAAGATAGATCACCTGATGCGAACGAGGATCTTTAAGAAGGGCAGGTTCTGATGTTGTACTGTACTATACATCTTGTAAAGATAACAACTGGTCAAAGGAAGAGATTGTGTTGAGGATAATGGGATAGATTACCCAGAGAGAGAGAGAGAAGAATCCGATATTCCCCCCATAGCGTCCATTTCCTTCCCACTGCTAGGATTAGGGCTTTCTGCCATAAACGATATAAATCTGCACGTATTGATGAATGGAGGGATCCCGGAGCTCCTTCCTGACCATGGCCAACAACACTTCAATAGCTTCTCTCTGCCAACCAAGGACGCGAGAAAACAGAGCGTAACAGTAGGGGCCCATGGATTCTTCTTGAGCCACCTGATGCCATCTACCAAGCTCTTTCAGTTTGGGATCTTTGGGCCATGTGCCTATTGGTATCTTTGGCTATTGTTAATTATGCTTACTCAAAAAATGGAAAAGGAAAGCCGGACAATCTAATTCTAGCGTAGGACATACCTTGAAAATTCGGCACGTCACATCCACAAAGCCCGCTTTGATCATCCTGTCTTTCCATGTATCTGCCTCTACCATGCTCTTTCCGAATTTCTTACTTGCCTCCTGCAAGTGCTCAACACACTTGCGCGTATAGGGTGCTTTTTCATCAGTGCCATCGTCGCAGAGGATTTCCTGTTTGTAGGATTGCATTTCCAGATAGCCTCCAGATTTCAGGTGCTGGAAAGCTTGTGCAAATAGACGATCGTAATCTTTGACGGCGCCCGAAAGCTCTCGGCCATGAATGTAATCAAATGGATGAGAATACGACCAGTCGCTTTCATAGTCATCGACCTCGAATTGGCAGTTTGGTGCTGTCCATTTGGGCTGTATGGGACTTAGATCGTTACCTGGACAGGTCAGCATTTCAATCCCAAGCCACATATCACTTCTCTGGGCTTACCAATGACTTGAGCAGAGGGATATTGGCTTTGCACGTCAGCCATTAGCCAAAACCGCCTGGTGGGGGCGTTCGGAGGGAAGAAGACTCACTCAGCAAAATCGAGTGCCCAAATTCCTGTACCAGTCCCCAGATCGAGGACACGCTGAACATTCTTGCTGAGGGGAGCGAGATGAAGTTCCCCACCCAGAAGTATCTTGTATATATGGTGGACTAGGTCCATCCGATCTTGCTCCTCTTCATCATTGGGCTGTGACAGTTAATCGCCCGCTCGATAGGCCGCAGAAGTAATTCGAAAGACGAGCATACCAACACGTACGACCCTTCTCGGAAAGCATGGTACCTCCGTCCATTCTGGCATTAACCCGTTAGATCCGGTCGTTTACGTAGAATTCGTCGGCTCAGTACCTCGTACCTGGATAACGCGCATTAGCATATAGGAACTTGAGCGAGTGTGCAATAGCTTAAGACAGTCTTACTTGTAGTCTACGACACTGGATGCAAGGGACGTTCGATAACTCTCAGAGTCGATCCTGACAGAGAGCAGTGTCAGAAGGATACTTTGTGAGAGACCATCTTTCCACCTACGAGGCCGCAATTGCTGAGTCGGCATCAGCATTTGGGTTATCCTACAACGTCTGTAGTCAGTCAGGTCGGCTCTGATATCGAGTGTTTGTTATATGCTTACATCTGCCTCGAGAAGAGGGTCAGTGACTAGATTGGCAGTGGCCGGACTGGCAGTGGCCGGATTGTCAGCAACAGGGTTGTCAGCCATTACTGCGAATTATTCGTTGAAGAGAGCAGGTCGTCCAAAAGCGTCAGGCAGGGGATGTGCTTAAATAAATGAGGGGATGACCAACGCCAGACTCGCACCGTTAGGAATCGCTCTTCACGCTAATACTGCATGAAGCATCTAGCCCCGCTGCTATCGACACCTCTGCTGAGGTGAGCTTCTAGGACTAGTAACAGATCGCGGAATTATTTACCATCGTCTGAAAACCGAGTTTGTGCGATACATTTGCAAAGTGATTGCAATCAATACCGACAGGGAGACCGCGTCGGCGGCCCCGTAGATCAGGCAGGATGGCCGGTGGTGGGGAGATGGGGGTGAGGGCGGTGGTGACAAGGTGGATGGCAGTCATGAGTTGTTTCCCAGAAAGGTAAGCGAGACATTCATCATTGAGGCGAGGCATATACCCGATTTGGTAAGACCTTCACGCCCAGCCAAGAACACTCTGCGGGCTGCGTCAACTCCAGGCACTGCGGAGTAATTCTACAGTTGGAGCTCAGGCGGTTTATTCGAGGCTTTCTTGTCTCCCTAATGCAGTCTGTCCTCCAGAGACAAGTTTTCACGGATTTGTCTTTATCCCTACACGCCCCCTTGGGACAGACGACAACGTGGTCAATGTGGGGACCACATGTTGATAGCTGCAGCTTGGTTGCGTAAGGTTGTGTGCCACGTAATATAGCTTATTAAATTAGGCTAAAGCTGACGATGCCCATTCTAGTCATATGAATAGCTTGGCCAGTCTCGCAGGGCGAGTTGGAAGAATTCCCAGCTAAACTCCCCTTGCGAGTTATGAAGATGGCTGTCGCCGGGCTTGACGACCACCTGCAGTTCACAGTGGGACAGAGAGGAGTCGATATTGATTGTAAATTTCAACTTGATTCTTGGACAGTACTCCGTATAGTCTCTAATGGATACTTTTTAATGAACTGCATTTTAGGAGCCACCTTGACTCCTATACTTCCTACTAACACTAGGTCTCAATCTGAGTTTTTTTTTTTAAAAAAAAACAAATTGCCATATAGGCAACAGGTCTTATATCTACCCACTCATATCAAGATAGACTTGAACAACAGCGAATGGATTTTTTTTTCAACTCAAAACTGACACCCAATTCCCATCTGATACTGGTCTGCTATATAATAATATATCCACCCTCTTAGCTAGTTGATATTTTCGAAAACACGTCTTCAATCACCCTCTGCGTCAGAGAGGCGATCAATTCAATCTCCTCTTTGGTCGTATTGTACGGCGGTGCAATCAGTATGTGGTCCCCACGCACACCGTCGACCGTCCCTGCACCCGCGTACAGTGAAATGCCATATGCCGGCTCCAAGGCTGTGTTCTGTACACGGGCGGAGACGCCCAGTTTGGGGTCGAAGGGCTCCTTCGTCTTTTTGTCCTTGACGAATTCGATCTGTGTGGATAAGAAAGAAAGCAACGTTAGTTAAGGTGTGATGAATAGAACCTAGAGAAACACAAACGTACCCCCCAGAATAGACCCCGTCCTCTGATATCGCCGACGTTCGGATGGTCCTTCAGACGACGTTTGAGCTCCGACTCGAGGAGCGCGCCCATGGCCCGGACGTTCTCGAGAAGGTTCTGCTCCCGGATGATCTTCTGCACGGCCAGAGCCGCGGCGCAGGCCACCGGATGGCCCTGATATGTCTGTCCATGCCGGAAAACGCCCGTGCCCTTGTCCAGGGTGTCGACGATGTGCTCGCCAATCAAGACGCCTGCAATTGGCAGGTATCCGCCTCCGAAGCCCTTGCCGATGGTCTGGATGTCGGGAACGACGCCCTCCTGCTCCCATGCGTGCAGCGTCCCACAGCGGCCCATGCCAGACATCACCTCGTCGAGGATGAGGAGAGCACCGTATTTCTCGCAGACGCGTTTCATGGCTTGAAGATACCCTGGTACTGCAGGAACACAGCCTAGGGCCTGAAGACCGAAACACCGTCAGTTCACATAGCAACAAAAAGAGGGATAATAAGAGCTCGCTTCTAGCACGCTCCAAGACATACCGCGCCGACAACAGGCTCTGCGACAAAAGCGCAAACCGTCTCCGGTCCCACGCGCTGGAACTCAGCATCCAGCTCATTCGCCAGACGCGCGACATAGTCCTCATCGGATTCCCCGTCTTTCCGCCCTCGATAGGCGTAGCAGGGAGACACATGGGAGACGTTTGGCAGGAGCAGCGGCTCAAAGAGCTCCCGTCTGCTCACATGCCCGCCCATGGACAGAGCGCCCAGCGTGGTGCCGTGATAGGATTGCCTGCGAGCGATGAATCGTGTCCGTTGCGGCTGCGGAGTGGACAGCTCAAGAAAGTACTGGCGTGCCAGTTTCATGGCGGCTTCCATGGCTTCGGAACCTGCACAGTGTAAAATCATTCCCTTGGTCAGCGACTGCAATTCATTTCCCAATGCTTTCTTGCTTCGTACCTGAGCTGATCACAAACAGCTTTGTCAGTCTGTTACCGGTAGAATTCACCATCAAAGCGGCGAGCTCTTCAAAGGTCTTGATGCCAAAGAACGCCGTATGGCAGTATGAGATCTGGTTGATCTGGGCAACGATGGCCTGGTTCACTTGGTCATTTCCATGGCCCAAGCACGATACGGCTGCGCCGCCGGTGGCATCGAGGATTTTCTGCCCGTTTTCGAGGAAGATGTAGCTCCCTTCGCCACGGACTGCCTGCTTGGGGATATGGTGGATGTCGCGATGCAGCACAGCGCTGCGCTGCTGTTCCTGGGCGATTTGAGAGGAAGCAGCCATCATGAAGTTGGATACAACAGGATAAAGGGTAACAATTCACTTCAACCTATATCTGGATGTAGGTACAACGTATGACTGTATTCAGAAGCATGCAACTCAGGAAGAAGGATAGTAGACTGCAAAGATAGATAAGCGGGAAGGGATTGTCCTACTCAAGACTATGTGCACGTATACGATGAAGGAGGGAATGAACTGCTATTTTATACCTAGGCAGACTCATCGACCGTCCTCCACAGCCTGGATACTCCTCGATGCGGGGCTTTTGGTTCGTCCAGAGCCCAGACTAATGCAGTTCCCCAACGGACGCAGACTCGGCATGCCGAGACAGAGAACCCGAGCCGGGGATTGGTCGTTTTGGCCGACAACACCGAGAGACCAAAAGCCAGACATGTCTTTCCCTCTCTGACTGGAGGATGTGGTTATCGTGGAGGAACTAGGACGGGGACGAGCGGGAAGTTTTGCGCCATGTCGGAGATAAAACCGAGGATGGCGGATGAATCGTATTGGGGGACATCTGCCACAGCATGAGACAATGGACAGCCTAGGCAGTCCAGCCTTTATCTGTAATGAGGGTATTTCCTGGGAAAATAGCTAAAAAGAGCAGAGTATTGGCTTGTAATGGATTTGCTACTCTGTGTACTCCGTAGATCGAGACCTCCGCGCAGGCCTGCGTTAGTTCCCCTCCGCCCCGACTTCGACCCACCGAAATTCGCTCCCGCACAAGACGCACCGCCACCTGGCCTCCAGCCTGCTGTGACCGCATGGTTTACTGGTCACAGCCCATTGAACAAACAATCAACTTCGCACCGTATCGCAGCAGGCGCGCGTCGACGAGATGTCCGACTCGGATCCTGAAGAGGTCGCCCCCTCCGACGACTTCGATGCCGCCCGTTTCGCTCGTGAGTCCATTCTTTCTCCGTCAATGATACCTCCTCCTGGGACCGCGAGACCGCCGACACAGCCTCAACGCGAGATTCCCAAGCACTTCCAGTGTCTGTATCCTGTGTACTTTGACAAGACGCGGTCGCGCGCGGAAGGGCGCAAGGTCAGCAGCAAGCTTGCCGTTGAGAACCCGCTGGCCAAAGACATCCTTGATGCCGTCCAGATGCTCGGATTGCGGGCTGGATTTGAGCCAGAGAAGCTGCACCCAAAGGACTGGGCCAACCCTGGCCGGGTGCGAGTATTATTGAAGGATGAGAACGGCAACCCGGTCAATCCTCGAATCAAGAATAGTATGTCCTGACTTCTCCGTCCCTCATTTTTTTTCCCCCAGTGCCATTACGCTTTTAACTGTCCCTGGTGATTGATGCTGCTTGTGCTGACATCATGACTCTCCTTGCAGAACATCACCTCTACATCCTGGTCGCACAGTACCTACAATCTCATCCCACGACGGAACAGTCCCCTTACCGCTTGAGAATCCACGGCCTTCCCATGCCGGAGAAACTGCCTCCTCCCCCTCCAGCTCCACGGGGCTGGAAGATTGGCAAGATTCTCCCCATCCATTCCCCGGCCTATAGCGGCGGCGGAGTCAGCGACAACCCGTTCAAGGAGGCCATGGCTGAGATGGAAAAGATGCAGAACATGCCCGGATTTCCAGGCATGCCGGGGATGGCGGGGATGGGAGGAGAGTCATCCAGTGGCGGGGACGCCAAAAAGAAAAAGGACAAAAAGACTAAGAAGTAATGATGGGCGATTGATTTCAGTTCGTTAGTCTCTTTGATGTTCTTTTTGTTCTGGACAGGGATTTATTTTTTTTCTATATTGCATGGTGGTCGGCGTTATTGCGTATTCTACTATTTTGAGATGACAGCTGAGTATCGGCTATAGACATCTGTATCACGAATAAAAGACGGCAATTAGATTGTTCTTGTATATTTCTTTGGCTTTTGAATTGTGTGGTTGAGCTGTCCACGTGAGACAGATCAAATCTTCTTTCTTGCGTGTTGTTAATTGAACGTTGGCCAGAGCAATAAATAAATCCAATTTTCAATTATGGACTCAGTATAAGAAGACTATTAATGTCTAGCAATCTTTGGTTTGTGCGAGGCCAACAGTCTTTTCGACTTGCTTACAATTGCATCCCGGAATCAGTGCCGATAAGCCAAGAGCCCGTTCGCAATTGGCAATTGCTGCACGCGAATTGCCATCGAGCATTCCCTTACCCCGGAATTCTGATCGCCTTCGGCTTGGCGGATCCAGTCTCAGTCCGCAAGCACAATTGCGTCTGCTCAACCACACCCATTCATTCCATCAATCGACGGGTTATGATATTCCTGTGATTATATTTTATTATATGGATACAATCAATCGGCATCTGCTCCGCTCCGCTGCTGCCGCTTTCCTATGAGCAGACCGCGCCTCGGTGGTAGCCAAGCCACCCCGCCGCAGCCTTGCGCCGAGTCGAGCCAGTATGATGCGTAACTCGACAGACAACCCAACTGGATACGCCGAGCGAGGGACCAATGCGTCGTTACTAGGCGATTCAGCATCCCGCGCGCCTCAGGCCGGCACGACTCCGAAGGCGCCCGCGACCCGGCCGGGCGGATTGGGAGGAGGGCGTCAGATCACTCGCAACCGTGCGAGCTACAGCTGCCACACGTGTCGGAGGAGGAAGGTGAAATGCGACAAGGCAAGAAGAGCACACCCAGGGCGATGAGATGTGCGATCAGGGCTGACTTGCTACGTTCCTTACTGTAGGTCCATCCGGTGTGCGGGAATTGCCTCAAGAATGGCACCGAGTGCGTCTACGATACCACTGTGCCCAAGAAGGGTACGGGAGCGGACAATCGCGGAGAGGACTATCATGGAGTGAAGCGGAGGAGAGAGATGTCCAGACCCCTGGATGGTGATACCGATGAGTCGCAATCGTTCTTGGGCGGATGGAGGGACGCGCGTGGAAATCTGCCGGAGCCGAGAGGCAGTTCGCAGGCGATCGAGGCGCGACTGGACAAGCTCACGTCGTTGCTCGAACAATTGAGCAAGGCCGATCGCTCCCTGTCAGTGGAGGAGATGAGCCGACAGCTATTGATGATGAACCAAAATGGCGACTGGCGGTCCGTCCCAAAGTCGGCGGGAAATGGGGATACTGCGAAGCCTGCATCCGGGTCTCGCCCAGCCAGTCCGCGACGCAATGCCGACTCCAGTGGCGATGAGTTTCCTATCCCCTCTGGGAAGGCGACGGATCCTGTTGATCCGGTGGGAAGTCTTAATCTCGGTCATCTGAGCCTGGAAGATGGAGGCAAGTCCAGGTGAGTGTGACAGTACGGTCACATTCTGTGGTTTTTGTTTCTGACAGGAGTCAGATATGTTGGAACTACATATTGGGCATACATATCGCACGAGGTGGGTATTTCCAGAAACTAGAAATGTATAGGACGCTGTATGTGCAGTACATACTGATGGATTCCCTAGATCAATGAGCTCAACCAGCTCCTACGGGACCAGAATCGATCGCATGACCCCTCTCCTCCTGATGAAAGCTCTACTGAAGAGGCTATGGCGGACCAAGGGGTAAAATCCCCTGCAAGGACGTCTTCCTATTCTACGGGGGGTGGCAGCCAACGACACCGCATGTCGAGTCAGGGCGATCATTTCCACAAAGCCATTCTTTTCCCTACTGGAGATTCTCCCTCCACACATGACAGAGCAGTTGAGCCCGAAATGCTCGAGAATGTGCCCACGAAACGCCAGAGCGACATTCTGTACAAAGGCTTCATGTCTGGTGTCCATGCCATTAGTCCTGTGCTGCATCCTCCCACTGTCCTGAAGATGTACAACGCCTTCTGGGATTGGTACGATCATAGCAGCTACTCAGGGGAGCAGTGTCCTGATCCGTCGTTCATCCCGTTGCTCTATGCCATCTGGTATGGCGGCTCAGTCACCATCTCTATCCGCACGATCAAGGCCGAATTCAACGTTTCTTCTCGCTCCGTGCTATCGGACATGTTCAATGATCAGGTAACCCGGTGGCTCACCAAGATCTCCTTTCCTCGCAGTCCTACCCTTCACGGGCTGGCCGCGTTCCTTATCGTCCAGACGATCTTGTCCAAAGAGGAGGAACCTCTGACTAGCAGTCTCTTCATCAGCCTCGCGCTGAGAGTGGCACAGACGATGGGTCTCCATCGGGACCCTGCTCAATTTGGCATCCAACCGTGCGAGGCCGAGTCGCGACGGCGGGTCTGGTGGCACATCGTCCACATGGATGGTGTGGTTGCCATGTCCAGCGGCCTGCCACCGTTGGTCAGCGACGAGAACTATTGGGATGTCCGCGAGACCAGCGAGGTCAAGGACACGCTGTTGGGGACACCGCAGGCGGAGCACTATACACGGTTGGTTGCTGCCAACTTGCGACCGCCAGATAATCCCGACGATCCAACCATCTGTGGTGGCCCGTCCATGGTGAATGTCTTCTACCTCTGCGCGAGAGGGAAGTACATTATGGCGCGTACGTTTTCCCTCTTTCTGTAAGTGGGGACGATCTGAGAAACTGATTTGTCTACAGGTGCTATCCGCAGGATCTTGAAGATCCAACTGGGGACAAGGCCGATCACGGGGCGAGATATGGAAGAGTTGAGATCTATCTTGGTGGATCTCCAATACAAGCTAAATTCCATTGTCAATCGAATACCGCTGGCGCAACACCCCGGGACTCCTGGGCGAGATGGCAGCTCTGCATCGGACCGGTCCCAGTCCTTCTCTCATTCTCCAGCAAACTCCCGTTCGAACGAGGGCTTGCTCCCTGGTGACGGGCCGTCTGGCTGTGCAGAGCAATACCACACCCCAGTCTTGGTGGCGTTTCACAAGTGGGCCAGGATCCTCCTGTCCTTATTTATTGATAAGGTAACTCATCCCATCTGGTACGGCCGCGAATCTCGAACTTACAAAATCTAGGCATTTTGTGTTGCCTATCAGCCTTTCTTGAAGAACGCCAAAAGCCGGATATGGCCTGCGGCGAGACAAGGGTGAGTGCTGGGTAGTGCTCCCACGTTGGTGTCTATGGTTGCTCACTGGAACAGAGCACTGCGGCATTGCCATGGTTTCATGGAGAAGTTCATCGCGCTTGCTACTGATCCTGACTTTCAGCCCTTCCAATGGAGTTGGCCTGGGTAAGTGAGCCCACGGCTAATAATGTATGAATTAGTGGACTGACTTTGTTGCAGCAATCATCAGCCCATGCATGCTACCATGTTGGTTAAGCCCGCGGCTATGATTGGGGGAACTTGACTCTGGATAGCTGACATAACACCAGGATTATGCTTATCGATCTCTACGAGCGACCCAACAGTCCGCAGGCGTCCCGATCGAGAGCGTTCATAGACAAGATCTTTTCCTTATCCGGACCAGATGGGGGTGTGGTTGGCGGTGAAGATGGGATCACGACGGCACGGCCCCTTAAGGACGGAGGCCGGGAGGCATGGGACTTGATGCGTCGACTGCGCGAGAAAGCGTGGCGGAAAGCCGGCCTTGATCCCTCGCAATTCTGGACGGAGCAAGCGCAGATCCAGGCAGGCGTGGTGCCGACTCCTGAAAAGCATTCTGGTCCCAACTCACCGACGTCGTTTGGCAATCGGTCATATTCGACCAGCACACACCGTCCGGGTAAACCCGATCCGCAACTCGTCGAGTTCTCCAGCAGATTCTTCGACATGACGCGGGCGCAGACCCTGCCCAACCCGGTCGTGTCGGCGCTGCGACAGGAGTCTCCACGATATTCGGTCTCACTTCCTCCTCCGATGCCTGCTTCGACCGCGTCTAGCAGCCAGCCTGCTGCTGCCGCCCAGACGACTTCTTCTTCTCCCCAGCTTCCACCGATGACGCACCCGATGCTCAACCAGGGTCTAGACGCGACTCTGGCCAGTCTGGCCTCGTCTGAGTCATTCAGCGCGCCTAATTCCCAGCCTGCTCCCCTTATGAGCATGTCCCCATCTACATCAACCTTCGCATTCAGCAACACCACCACCAACACCAATAACAACCCCAACAACAACTCCTCCACGACTGCTCCCCCCGACACGGACCCAACGACGACAACGACAACGACAACGACGAGCATGACCAGCGCCGCACCAACGCCTCCGTCAATGATGGACCCCAACCTCACCTTCGACTGGGACCAGTGGGACGCGGTGTTCGGGCAGCAGTTGCCTGTGGCCGACGAGCTGATGGAGCTGGATCCAGTTGCTGGACTGGGCTTGCCAGATCTGGGAATGGGGTTAGGGTTGGGGTGAAGAAGAAAAACTGACTTTTGATAAAATTAAATTCTTGGTAAAGTACTGGTGTTAGTGAGTGAATGAGGGAGGTGGGAAAAAGGGAAGATTTGAAATTTTTTTTATCTTCTTGTATCCATCTATCTATCCGTCTGTCTGTCTATGTATCTGTTTGTTTGGTCGTATTGTTTCTTTCTGTTTTCTTTCTGTAACTACATATTCCCCCTATCGAGTTGATGATGTTTATTTTGTTTTGTTTTGCTTTATCTTATTTTACTTCACTTAACTTACCTGATTTCATATATCTTCCCTTTCTGCCTTTCTCCCGTTCTTTTTCTTTCTTGAATGGAAGGTAAGGGGGGGGGGGGGGGGGGGGGGGAAGGTCAATCGATTGATCAATTCATGAATGAATCAATGAATGGGTGGATGGATGGACGGTTTACTATGATAGGACTAGGATGTTGTTCATCCATATATATATGGGAAATATCCTCAAGAATTAAATACGGCGGAAATGATTTATTTATATATATGCCACCTCGTGAAGAGTGATAACTTTCTTCGTCCTCTTTTTTTTTCTTTATATGTGTATGTGTAATGGATAGATGGACAGCTAATCAAGGGGAATCAATTCAAGAGCCCGAAAAGCATCCAGCCGCAGCATGTATACTCTTGCAGGCTTTCATGCTTTTTGGTGGTCTTGTCTTCTATTCATTTTTCTGGTCGTAGCAACATTAGATCAACTCGAAAACATGATCGAAACAACAGAAAACAAATATATGCTCTCGGCGCTTTTGTCCATTTTATTTCGTCTCGTTTAGACCTTCATCTCCTCCAGACCGTGCTTCCACAGAGTGGCATACGGAGTAATGCCGTCCTCACGGTAGTCAATCAGGACGTGCATGGCGTTGCCGTCCATGGACGAGCCCATCAGCACGTCGTAGTTGTCGTAGTTGGCGAGGATCTTCTTGACGGCATTGGTGGCACCGGCCTGGAACTCCTTGATGGTCTCCTCGCTGGCACCCTTCTCCTTGAGCTTGTTGTTGAGGTTCTTGACGTAAGCTGGAATACAGTCAGTCAGTCAGTCAAATACACACATGCGTTAGGAACATACTCTTCAGGTGAGCCTTGAAAGCATCCTTGGACGGCTTCATGCCCTCCTCCTGCTTGAGCCAGACGAGACGGAACTGGTCCTCGATGTCGTAGACCATCTGCTGCGGACCTTCGGCGTCGCCGCCATCGTCATCTTCACCCTCGGCAGAGGGGTTGGCACCCTCGAGCTGGAAGGTCTCCTTCCCCTTGACGTACTTGCGGCAGTCGGCCTCCCACAGGACACCGTCGACCTCCTTGATGTTGAAGGTGTCGGAGAACAACTCGTCTCCGGTGAAGATGTCCTAGAAGAACAGGGGAAAAAAAAAGTCAGCTGTTAATTCTGAGAAGATTGGGGTTGTTTGCGACAGTCGCATCCCCACTGGTCTGGTCTGGTCTTGTTTTCGCTCGTACCTTGTAAATAATCATGGTGACGGGATTAGCAAACGATGGAAATCGAATTCAACACACAGCGAACAGGTAGATCAGTGGATCTCGATGATCGCGCCGAGGGATTGAGGAGAAGGAAAAAAAGAGGGAGAGCCGTAGCCGGAGGGAGAAAAGGGGAGTAGAAGAAAAGCGAGGGTGAAGGAGGGGCAGGTGAAGTTTTTGTCCGTTTTGTTTGGGCGATTCGGGTGGGGGAGGGGAATGCCACTAGAGCGTTTCCAGCCTGGGGCGGCGAAAAAAAAATACAACCCCGCCACCACCCACGATAACTCAACAATAATCTATAGGAATCTGTAAAAATGGATTAATAAATAATGGATGGCTATTATTAAATAAAAATAAAAAGAAGATAATTAGTTATGCTGGTCTTGTGTCATTTTGTTCGAAGATCGTAAATTTATAAAATTTATATAGTTAGTCCTAACTTAGTCGCTAAAAGGTCCAAATTCTAGGATGAGAATATTTATCATGAACAAACGCGCAGAAAAAGAAATAGGAGAGAATACGGCTGAACGGAAAGAAATTGAGTAGCATTTAATAAATCTCATCCCTGTTGGGAATGCTGCTTCATGCGTCCATATATACTACCTGGATGCCATCTCATAATACTCCGTAATTCAGACTCCTTTCATTTCATGGGATCTGCCCGTTGGTAGCCATCTAGCCTGAGGATTACTTTGTACTGTATATTTTTTCAGTGCACAAACAGGGTGGTGCTATCACACTGAAAATTTCTGTTAGTATAGTAGAGCATCTAATTCAAGTGGGTTTCAAAGAAGGGAAAAAAAAAGTACAGGATTAACAAAAAGAGCAAAAAGCATGTCCCCGCGGAAGATCGCGTCCGGACCTCGAGATCTCTCACTGAAGTTGAGCTTCGGTGTCATATACAGGGTATGAGACTATCGGGCTTTTCCGACTGCACCGCATTTTTGTGGAATTACTAGAACAGACATTCCTCATCTGTTAATTATTTCAGCAGATAATTGTGATGGCTTGGCGGGCTAAAATTACCACATCTGAGACTATTGAGACTTCATAAACTCCGTTGAAAAAGTTCCAGGCCCCATTCTGCTGCTGGACGAGTATGTAGGCTTCGATTGATTCTACTGCACTTATAATATAGCTAGCATTCTGATAAAAAGCCATAAGACATGGTTAAATAATATTAAAAAGGATTGCTTTCTGGCGGACGGACCAAGATCTGCCAGCCCGGGCATCTGCTAGCCGCGTGTCGCCACATGGGCTCTTCGGCGGCCTGACTCCCGCGACTCCCCAACTTTTCCCTCAAGGAGTTCCCCCAGCACAGTTTTCACCCAGTTTTGCTGCGTGTACAGTACGTCATGTCCAACTGAACAGATATCGCCGCACGCCTTCTTTCTCCGTTTTCTCTCTGCTGGTAGAGATC